TAACAATTCATGGCCATAATGAAGCTTCCACACCTCTGGACCTGACCTGGCTACACCTGTTGTTCTCTTGTTTGTTTTGAATTAGGTTTGAGGATGGAGTTGTAAATAGGAGATAGTTGGTGTCTGAGTCCTCCATTTCTGCTTAGAGAAGAATTCTCTTTCTTAACAAAAATGTCTTCTTTCACTCCCCTCTCAAACAAATTTTTCTCTCTGGCTAAAATCTGTACCTCGCTGTCCTCAAATAAGTGGCCTGTGGCTTTTAAGTGGAGTTGTACAGCAGACTGAGGTTCACTGCTGCTCTCTCACCTGTGTTGGTTCATCCTCTTGTGAAGTAGCTGTTTAGTGTCTCCAATGTAGCGTTCACTGCAATGAATGGAGTAGACCACATTGCTTGGTTTGTGGCTCGGTGTTTTGTCCTTTGGTTGGACCAGTTTCTGTCTTAGAGTGTTTGTAGGTTTGAAATAGACCGGGATCTCATGTTCTCTGAAAATCCTCTGTAGTTTTTCAGAAACACCAGCCATGTAGGGAATAGTTACCCCCTTTCTCCTGGGTTCTGATTCTCTGTTGTTCTGTTTTTTAGTTCTCTTGGTTTTGTTGAAGGCCCATTTTGGATATCTCCGCAAACAGAGAGGGCTTTCTGCACATGTTGTTCTTCTTTCTCCTTTCCCTCTGTGCTTGTGGGCACCACTTGAGCCCTGTGTTGTAGTGTCCGAACAACTCCAAGTTTGTGTTGCAGTGGGTGGTGAGAATCAAAAAGTAGGTACTGGTCCGTGTGTGTGGGCTTCCTGAAGACCTCAACCTGGAGTCACAGGTCTTCTCGTATCGTTACTGCACAATCTAAGAAAGCCAATGTGTTGTTCTTGGCATCTTCACAGGTGAATTTGATGTTAGGATCTACAGCATTAATATGTGCAGTAAATGGTTCCAAATCTTGAGTTTTGATTTTAGAAAAATTATCATCCACATAACGATACCAATGTGTGGGTGGAGTTCCTGGATAAGAGGTTAAGGCCCTCTGTTCAAATTGTCCCATATATAAGTTAGCAATGATAGGAGAGACCGGTGAGCCCATAGCACAGCCATGGATCTGCCTGTAGAAGTTCCCTCTGAACTGGAAATAGGTGGTATTTAAACAGATTTCCAGCAGTTGGCAGATTTGATCCGGTGACAGTTTAGTTCTCTCTTCTAGTTTGGTATCCTGCAGTAGTCTCTTCCTTGCTGCTTCCACTGCTACTGATGTGGGGATACATGTGAAAAGAGAGGTCACATCAAAGGAAACCTTTGTCTCATCCAGGTCGAACTGGAGATGTTTAATTTTGTTCACATATTAGGCTATGTTCTCAATATTGTGCTCCGTGTTACCCACCAAAGGGGCCAAAATGGTCTTCAGGTGTTTGGCCACATTGTACGTGATGGAGTCTGTGCTACAAACAATGGGTCTGAGAGGTTCTCCCTGTCTGTGAATCTTAGGGAGGCCGTAGATACACGGAACGGAATCACCAGGATACAGTCTATAATACATCTGTCGATCGATGACTTCTTCCTTCTCCAACTTCTGCAAGCAGTCAATGATCTTCTTTCTGTATCCACTGGCGGGGTCTCGTTTTAGTAATTCGTAGGTAGCGGTGTCACAGAGCATATGGAATAAAGTTAAACATTTTCTGGCAATAGATGACCAATATTTCAGGCAGAGGCTCTTGGTGGTGTGTATTTGGGGTGGTGGTGTTTGTGGCCTGTATATTTTTATGTGGCAGATTACGCTGCTGCTGCTGGTGGTTTTCTGTTTTCAGATACTCTCAGATTATCTGTCATAACAACAAATATCTCAGAGCACTTTAAGGCCACACACCCAGCACTTTACATCTTAAAAGAAATTTTTTTTATATTTGCACAGCACTAGCACAGCAATGCGGTCCCATGGTGTTCCTTGGGGATGCATGCTAAAAAATCACCATGTTTGTATTATTTTGAACAAAGCAAAAAGCTCTGGTACGATTTCTGAATTAGATTAACTAATTGTTAAGTGCCTAGAAAAAATTCTACCTATTGAGCAGCTTTGGAAAATTGAATTGAGGGATCACTCTGCATGGGGTTGGAACCAGATTTGGTCCAAGATCTCCCTTTCATTGAGGAATCCCAATCACCAGATGATTCATTACAAAATTATTCACAGTTTATTTATATCCTAGGAGATTACATCAAATGAAAATAAAAGACAAACCACAAAACTGTGGGCACTTTCCTACATATGATATGGGAGTGGAAAACGTCACAAAGACAATGTCTAATAGGACATTGTCTTATGTCCTATTAGACATTAGATGTCTAATAGTCTTAATAGGAATAACCACATGCCTAAACTAAGTCTAACAATTAATGATCGTTGTATATTACGAGCAGGTCTTACAGCTGCCAAAAAAATAGTAATATGTTGGTGGAAATCAGTTCAACCTCCTGACTGAGAGAATTTCTCTTATCTTACAGAGAAGTCATTGAACTGGAGCTTTCTGCTGCTTGAATACATGAAGCAAAAGCCAAAAACATTTCTTGCTGGTCCAATCAACTGACCAAACTGAGACCTGAATGTATTGTGTTATTCGTGAGACTTTTCATTATGGTATATGTTTACAGAATGTATAACTGTGGAACATTTATGTATGTAAATGATAACGAATAAAAATTTGATTAAAAAAAAAAAAAAGCTCAGATTAATGTCCTGAGCTTCAGACAGAGCAGTGCTTACAGTTAGCATCACACCCCAGGGAGTGCTGATTACATCAGCTACAAAGTACTGCAATACTGCAGATGTGTGATGTATTCATAGATATTATTTTGTGTGACATTGTTGTTTTAAAAGTTTTTGATGTAAATAAAAATAAAAACATTAAGAAAACTTTTTGCCTCTGAGACTCTTTTCTTCATTTAAGCCACTCATTCTGACGCCCTGTTGGAGTTGGGGCTCTGCATACTTTCCAGGCGCGGCTTACTCGCAGTGGATACCATACACAGCCCAACCAGCGCTACCAGTGGTTTCTCTCTCTCTCTCATCCAGCTTGGGTCCTCTTAACAAGAGGCCTGGGACCTGGAGAGTTCTGCACAGTATCTTTGCTGTTCTCAGTACTGCACTTTTCTGGACTGAGATGTGTGTTGTTTTTCCCGGTATCTGTTGTAGTCACGCTTCCATTTTGGGGCTTACAGCTCCGAGTGCTCCGATCACCACGGGCACCACTGATGGAATTTCCAGGCTCTCTCCAGCTCCTCCTTGAGCCCCTGGTATTCTCTAGTTTCTCGTGTTCCTTTTTCTTGATATTACCATCGCAATCATCATGTATTCGAGAATAATTGTAGTCATGTAATTGTCATGAATTACATTTAAAATCATAGAAGTTACTGAGAGCAGCACAAGTCCCAATTTTCCCAATCCACCTGTGTCTTTGCTCTTTCCTAAACCCACAAACTCACACAACAGTCCTCTATCTCCTGCGCTGTAGATTGAGGTTTAATGATTATATTCCTCTTCAAACGTTTCACTTTCACTTCAGATTTTTTACTTTTAGTTAAGTACAAGTTTGGAAGCTGTACCTGTAATTTAGTAAATTTTTAGCCATGTCACTGTACTTTAACTTGAGTAGAAATTTGCAGTAGGGTCAATCCATATGAAGTGAGCCATTTTCAAGGAATCCCCTCTATGAACCATCTCAGATTTGTCTTAAAAATTTTCAAAAAAAATTCTAAAATAACCAAATGAAATAATCTCAAATTTTAGCTCAATCCCTTGAGTCGTTCCTGAGTTTTGGCCCATTTTGGGGCCATGCTCACTTTTTCGGAAGCCTTAATTTATAAGCATGTTTGAGAGACCATAACATCATCAAAAATAGAACTAGGAAGCTGAAAATTTGTATAGTACAGTAGAATTTTGGTCATAGATTCTGAATCTGTTGTCAAATATTGGGTATCTTTATTAGGGGGAGCGCTGTGGGCCTTCAAAATCTCACATTTGGTTGTTGCTCTTTTTTTTTTTTTCAATTTTTGAGTTCCAAGATCTTTTAACTCCAAGCAGATATTTACAAACTAACTGTTGAACCTGAATATTTGAGAGAATGACAATTTTTGACAACAATCTCACACTTTTCTGAGCTTTCATGTGGATGGTGTAGAGCCCCAAATATGGTTACAAACCAAATGTGATCTTTTTGGCCTCTTCTTTGGAGCCTAAAACTAAGTAACTCTAGTGTTTTGACTTTTTACTTTAAAAGTGCACTATGCATTTTATTTATTTATTTATTTATTTTTCCTGTGGAAGATGCTCCGTATGCTTGTTTTGGTAGAGATGTTATCACTTTACACTTGATGTTCCACAGTATGACAGTAAAATTATGGAGACATGCAGAAGACACCATTAAAGCCAGTTACAAGTCAAATCTGTGGAAAGGTGAAGCTGGAATGCATCCTTTTCAACTTGTCTTAGAGTAATAAAAATATGATTTTTCATTTTAACTATGCGTTATCTGTGTAAAGTTATCAGTGCAGCTCTGGCGACATCTAGTGGATTCTGCTGGTAACAGATTACAATATATTGAATTTTCTATTTTAATCAGTGCTCCTGTCAAGTTTGTGCGCAGTTTACGAGAAAACCCGTCATTTTAGCAGTCAATTTTAAACAGTTTGTCTTCTCAAAACCGTCACTTATATTTATATTACCGCTGTTTCTATTTAACAGACTTTATTTTAATATTACTTTGTTATATTTTCTTTTTTACGTTTTATTTATTTTTTTACTTTTAACGCTATTTATTGGTTTATTATATTCGCATGAACAATAGTATTTAATAATTATTGGTATAACAGCAGCCCGTCTGTAGCCCCATGAGCAGATTTCGTCTCTGACCAATGAGAAAACAGAGACCCCGTGCCGTGACAACCAGCCGCGCCCTGATTGGCTGCCTCTAACATGACGTCATGAGCAAGCAGGCTCTCATTGGTTGGTTTCTCATGTTTAGCTTTAGAACGTCCCACATTTTGTTCCGGTATCGCAACAGCTCGCGCAGGTAGGTTATTACTCCGTTTTTAATGTTATAATTCATATTTTTGAGATAATTTTGTAACCTGATACAATTATTATACACTTATATTAAGATTAGATTAATATATTTAAATTAAAGTTGTGCTTCTTCATGCATTTTGAGTTTTTAAAGGGTTAGTAAGCAGGACGTCAACTTTTTGCTCACTAGAAACTGTTAAAATTAAACAGATAAAAGCACAAAGATCATTAAAATGCATTGTGTAAAAACGACATAAAACACTGTAAATATTTGTTTTATTTGCAAGTGCAGTTTTATTAGTTTAGGTGCAGTGTTAACATAAGCAACACAACTTTTTACTCATAAACCAAGGAGATATTTATAAGTTTAGTTTAGTAGTAATAGCTATATATAAACAAGAATAAACCAGGATTAAGCCAGGACTAACACAGGTCTAAAGCAGGTCTGAACCAGGACTAAACCAGGTCTAAATCAAGACTAAACCAGGACTAAACCAAGACTAAAACAAGACTAAACCAGGTCTAAATCAAGACTAAACCAAGACTAAATCAAGACTAAAACCAGACTAAACAAGACTAAGCCAGGACTAAACCAGAGACTCCAATAGGACTAAAGAAGAACTAAACCAGGACTAAATCAGGTCTAAACTAGGACATACTGTGATAAAATATGCCAGTCATTAAATAAGTGAATAATTTGTGAGCAACAGCAGAAGTATAGCAACATCAGTAGTAGTAGTAACAGTAGTAGTAGTAGTAGTAGTAGCAGTAGTAGTAGTAGTAGTAGTAGATTCAGACACAATGCTATAATAATATTGAATCAACCTGCCTGTGTGGTCACTTGGTTGGCCTATACACTTATTTAAATTTCTGTTTCCCCATTATATTTTATTTTAATGACTTGTATATACTTTTCTTTTATTACATTCATAATATTTGGTTGCATAATTCCTGGTGATATTTCTTCAGTGTTCCATGCTGGGCAGTGGCTTCTGTCCAAGTGTCAGAGTCCATGCACAGGCTGTACAATGAAAGGCTGATAATGTTCTTATTAAATTATATAAAGTGCTCAGTATTTGTAAAATTCTGCTGTTAAGATTAGACTGTTTAGATTAGCATAATTTTAAAGATCAAAAAGGAAGAGCCATAGTCTTACATTTGATATGTTGTCACTAGTGACAAAATTAATCCATGATCTTTTAGGTAATATTTTTAATGACAAAATGTATATAAAAATAATCTACTCAGCATGGTAAAGACCACATTTTTTCTGGTTGGCCTTCATGCTGTATAACACATCTGCATAGATTTTATATTGAACTATAAACCAACGATGGCACCAACATAGACACTGTTTCTGTGTCATGGTGCAGCAGCAGAACACACTAAGTGGGAGGGGATAAAAGTACTAAAGCTTTTTCCTCACTCATGATACTGAAATCAGGTACAGGTACAGGGCTGGGCGATTTTGTCTGAAAATTAAATTGTCAATTCATTTTTTTATTGTTTCCAAAAATGTGATTTTCAATTTGGTTTGAATTTTTTTCTCCCTGTTCACAAAAAATGTTCTGCAAACTACAGAAAATTATTAAAACAAAAATACTGTATTTAGTGAGTATATTTAACCCACTGACACTGGAGAAATCTTTTATAAATAAAAACAACTATTGCATTAAACTTGCATTTAATTTGACGTCACTGATTTCAGTGCATCAGCTCTACATGGCCCCGTGCTGGACTTTGTCCTGTGACCTTTCACAGCCTTTCTTACATTTTCAATGGGGGGGGGATCAATTGTCTTTGTGGGGAAGCTGGCCAAGTAGGAGGCAGATGCAATGCATAGTTAACGCCAACGAAAGTACAAATATACAGAAAATAAGTAACTCAAATCAAAAAAACCCAAACAACCTGCACAGAAGTAAAGCAAAGCAAAGCATGTCTTTTCAAAATCAATGAAATGAAATGAGACAAACGCCCACTTTGTCACATTCTTCCAAACACATTCATTTGAAGGCAGAACTGGCTTCAGAACTGAAGAAGAACGAAACCGTTTCTGAGTGTCGTGTTCTGTGTCCTCAGATCCCAGCATGGACCTGGTGCTGAACGTGGCCGACCACTATGTGCTGACCCCGTACGTGTACCCCTCCTCGTGGTCAGAAGAGGGCGCTCTGAGGCAGATCCTGAGTCTGCTGGTGGTCACAAACCTGGGGGCCGCCGTGCTGTACCTGGGGCTCGGGGCCATCAGCTACTTCTGCATCTTTGACCACACGCTCATGAAGCACCCGCACTTTCTCGAGGTATAGACTGTAGTAGTAGTAGTTTATAAATTGGGCCTTGGAATGGTATTTAAGCTGAAGTAAAGATTTTTAGTTGTGCCCGAGTGTCATTGTGAGAATTGGAAAAACAAGCAACAGGTCTTTAAATGAGACTTAACACGACTGAATGAAACCAGATAAATGCAATGTTTTAACAAACTGGGAACCAGGATTATGAATGAAACACTATTAAATAAAACATTATATTGTTAATCGATAATTTCAATATCTCAGACAAAAAGTTGAATAATCCACTTTGTTTATGTAAGATCCAGCTTGATTAAAAAAAATCAGTGTATCATTTGAAGAAAACGAAAAAACAATAATTTTCTTCATTATTTGTCTCCAAAACCAAAATGAAAAATTCGATAACGATTAGTTTTTTCAGTTTTTGATTTTGTGTTTAAATGAAAAATGGAAAAAACAGATAACAGCCATTTCCGTGACTTAAACTGCGATACCGAATTTTTGAGCCGCATACGGACTGAACCAGGACTGAATCAGGACTAAACCAGGACTAAACCAGGACTAAACCGTTTTCAGTCCTGGTCTGGTCCCAGTCTCAGTCCTGGTCTGGTCCTGGTCTGGTCCCAATCTCAGTCCTGGTCTGGTCCCAGTCTTGGTCCCAGTCTCCATCCTGGTCTTGGTCTCAGTCCCGGTCTCAGTCCCGGTCTCATTCCGGTCTCAGTCCCGGTCTCAGTCCCGGTCTCAGTCCGGTCTGGTCCTGGTCCCGGACTCAATCCTGGTCTGGTCCCTCTCAAAGTCCTAGTCTCAGCCTCGGTCTGGTTCCAGTATGGTCCTGGACCTGGTTCAGTCCTGGTTCAGTCCATATGCAGCCTTAAAATCCGACATCACAGTTTGTCACGTAAACGGGAAACGGCCGATATCCGTTTTTTCCATTTTTCATTTAAACACAAAATAAAAAAACTGAAAAAACAAATCATTTATCTGTTTTTTCATTTTGGATTTGGAGACAAATAATGAAGAAAATTGTTTTTTCGTTTTCTACTTTTTGGTTTTATATTGAAAAACAAATGAACGAATGATACACGGATTCAAAAACTTGCATTATCATTATTAGTCCATAAATACTTGTGAGCCAGTTGAATTTGATTGTGTGTGTCCGAAGCAGTCTGTTAATGAGTCCGCTGGTCCATGCGGTCTTTGGAGGGTTATGGACTAGGGTGGACCTTCGAACAGAGCCTATAACAGATCTTTTATGTGGTGCTTGACTTAGAACCAGGTGCGGAGGGAGATCAAGTACGCCATGACGTCTCTGCCCTGGATCAGCCTGCCCACCGTGGCCCTGTTCTTCGCCGAGGTGCGGGGATACAGCAAACTCTACGACAATGTGTCCGACCACCCGCTGGGCAAGTACAACACACATACTAACGAGAGACATGACATGATCCTGTAAGTAAAGCATAGACTGTATATAAATAGACAAAACTAACAAATAGGAAGTGAGCATGGGCTTCCTGCTCCATCAACTGGCAGTTGTAACAAATTTATAACAACAAAAAAGAATACAAACACTACCGGTCAAAGGTTTTAGAACACCACACTTTTTCCAGTTTTTTACAGTTTATTGTGTCATTGCTCTTTGAAATAAAAGCAATTTGAGTTGAAAAGTAAATCATGGAATCAATATATAAACTAAAACGTATTCTAAAGTGTCCACCTTTGGCAGATAACAACAGCTGAACACACTCGTGGCTTGTTCTTTTTACAACAGAAAGCAAATATTGTTCAGAAAGTTCTTCCCAAGTCTGTTGCAGAAGTTTCCATAAATGTGTGGCACTTGTAAGTTGCTTCACTCTTCTGTCCGGTTCATCCCAAACCAGCTCCATGGGGTTTTAGTCTGGACACGGTGCTGCTGGACACTCAAGGTTTTCAAGCTTTACCATCTTGTTCTTTTTTCCTGAGGTAGTTTTGGCAGAGCTTGGACTTGTGTTTTGTTATCTTTATCTTATTTACATCACATACATCACCACCGAGCCGCCTGGCATCATATCCAATCGAATTCCACACACTTTTGTGTCACCGTATGCACGCAGATTTCCTCCCGAAAGTGCTCATCTAAACGCAGAATAAAAAGTGAAGATGTGACGCCACTTTTGCGTCTTCTGTTCAAACCGTCATCATATAAACATAGCCTAAGAGTTGAAAAATACAACACAGTGTCACAGTTTAGTTCAAGAGCAACACGAACAGCCAGAGAAGCGAGTCTGGTGTTAAAAGGTGACTGTATTGAACAGTAGACAGCTTTATTTTGTTTTTAAGTATAAAATATTATTACTTAAATGTCCTGGTAGCAGTTTGAGTCATTTTGGGAAAGTATCTGCGCCTACTGTTTTTGTTTCTTGAGTTCGCACATGCTCAGTACAGCTCCAGTTTACAGATACTGGCAGATCCAGGATGTTGAAATCAGTTTGCTTCATTTACACGGACACTCACAAAACAAAGATACTCAAAAAAAAAAACCCGGAATACTCGAGCGCATGTAAACACTCTCACTGAAACAGACGAGCAGGTTAAACTCAAATTCACAACCATAACCAGACTCCCCGGTCCAGTTTCTTCAATGTGACATGTTGTGTTTCCAGGCTGGACGGGCTTCATCCTCAGCGCCGTCTACTTCCTCCTCTTCACCGACATGTGCATCTACTGGATCCACAGGTTTCTGCACCACAAGAGCATCTACAAGGTCAGCCACTAGAGGGAGACACAGACCACAACATCTAACAAGACAGCAGCAGCATCTCAGTCTCATTTCTCTTTCCTCTCTTCCTTTTCCTTGATCCTTCATTTCTCAGCTGTCAATCAAATGTGTCATATTAAGTGGTGTCCCAAAGAAAACCACAGAAGGAAAGAGGAAACACGAGGGAGGCTTCAGGATCAGACGTGAGATAAAAGAATCTAACTTTATCAGTCTCAGTGAGGAGTTTAGATCCTCACAGTGGGACTTCATTGCCCATTTCCTGCAGAATCGAGGAGAGAAATCAAAGAGAATGAAGCGAGGAAAGAGAAATGAGATGCCCCCAAAGTATTGTCATTCTTAGTCAAAGATCAAAATTCTCTGTTCCACCTTTTGATGTCATGAAGCGGTAGTTTTCAAGTTAACAGCTACCTTAGACTTAGACTTAGACTAACTTTATTAATCCACAAGGGAAATTATTTGGACACAGTAGCTCACACATCACAATAACAAAGAGTTAAAAATATAAATGGTAATATTAAAGTATAAATAAGTAGTAAGAAAAGAGTAAGAGACGGGTGTCAATAAGGCATAATTATATAAATGTATACAGTGTTTCTCACAGACCAAGTAGCACTGTGTGACCCCTTCCCCCATGATCAGATGTTGAAATTAGGGATGGGCATTCGATGAAATTTTCTTAATCAATCGTCGGAAGAATTAACGATCGATTATCGATTAATCATTCATGTTTTTATATTAAAATGATCATCATTATTATTACTATCTGCATTACTAATCTGCATAAATAAATTCAACTTTACGACATATAAACTAACCACTCTAGAGCCACATCAGCCCGTTTGACATTATAATGTGTTTAATTCAGTTTTGCGCAACTCTCACAGAAACCAAACTTAAAACCACATCGCTAATTTGCATAAACTAAGCGAAGATAAAACTACAGCTTTTGTGCGCTGATGTGGTTCAACTTCTGTCAGATTAAAAGACATGACTCAGGTGAATACAGGTTAGTGTGACCAGATTTCCGTTTGTCAAAACCAGGACACCGTACAGGGGGAGGGAGGTGGGGACTCGTCATCGATATTGAGCGACTCTCACCTGGTAAAACTTTTTCCCACTGGACACCGAAACATATGTGCTGCTTTATACACTGTGCACATGGACTCACACTTGTCCCGAACGCAACGGAAAGTGTGGAATTTCTTGTACAAGTCATCGTTAAATATACATTTGTGCTTCGGTACGTTACAGACTGACCCACTGTTTGTGTCTCGCTCACACGGACGTTTGGTCACGCTATGCACAGCATTCTACATTCAGTTTGTCAATTAAAATGAACGTAATCGATGAAATTCTTAATGATCAATTATCGATTAATCGACTAATCATCCCTAGTTGAAATAATGAAACAGCGTTAGTCTATTTGGTGCATGACTTGCATGTTTTAACAGAACAGCTCATTTTACACAGCTTTCTGAAAAATACCACAAGTGCTCTTTCATAAGGGACCTCTTGGGTTCTGGCCCATTTGTTGCGTGGGGGGGAAGGCGGGCTTCTTTACAGTTCTGAGTGTGAGGACAAGCCCAGAGGTGCAGAAAGGACTGGCACAGAGCTCCTCACCCTATGGAACTAAACACAGCCATCCGCACTTTGTGGACACCCTGCTCCACAGGAGGAATGGTTTCCCGTCCCATTGCCACGCTACAGGCAGAGAGTCGGGTCCAGAGAGCAAATAGTGCAAGTGTTTTATAAGTGTACCCACACTGACATGTATGCAACGCTCTCTCTCTCTCTCGCTCTCTCTCTCTCTGTGCATGTCAGCAAGAATGAGAGGTAAAAAGAGGCAGTATCAATCTGTGGCGCTCAGTTTTCATTCTGTGTTGCTGTGCCACAGATTGGTCTGTGTGTGGGAAACACTGGTATATGTACAAGTTTTTAAAAAAATGGAAAACTAAAACAAAATCTCTGTTATATACAAAAGGTCGTAATGAAAAACAGTGCAAAAATGATATGATGACTGACAGGACATAGGGTTATCAGTGTGACTCTACAGTTGTAGGGAGTATTATCTGTTACATAAGAGCGAGTTGTTGTACAGTTGTAGGGAGTATTATCTGTGTGATCTGTACATAAGGGCGAGTTGTTGTACAGTTGTAGGGAGTATTATTATAAGGCGAGTTGTTGTACAGTTGTAGGGAGTATTATCTGTGACATAAGGCTGAGTTGTTGTACAGTTGTAGGGAGTATTATCTGTGACATAAGGGCAAACAAAACACAACTCCAGGTCTGTTTTTTGACGAGGGAATAGCATTATAAAAACAACAACCCTAACCCTAACCCTAACAACATCTCCCTCTTCTTTCTCTCTTACAGCTGTTCCACAAACCTCACCACATCTGGAAGGTCCCGACGCCGTTCGCCAGCCACGCCTTCCACCCGGTCGACGGCTTCCTCCAGGGCCTGCCGTACCACCTGTACCCCTTCCTCTTCCCGCTGCACAAGGTCCTGTACCTGGCCCTCTACGTCTTCGTCAACATCTGGACCATCTCCATTCACGACGGGGACTACCGCGTGCCCCGCCTCCTCACGCCCTTCGTCAACGGCTCGGCGCACCACACGGACCACCACCTCTTCTTCGACTACAACTACGGGCAGTACTTCACGCTGTGGGACAGACTCGGGGGGTCGTACCGGCACCCGTCTGCGCTCATGGGGAAGGGCCCGCTCGATCTGATCAGGAGGATGGAGAAAGAAGGGAGGCTGGGGGAGAGGGAGGAGAAGAAGAACGGATACAGGGGAAAAATGGGCAAGGAGGAGTAGAGAGGAGGGACTGCTGTAGAGGTGGGCGATTTACGTAGGGTGACCAGACGTCTCTATTTATCCGGGACAGCCCCAGTTTTGAGTCCTGTGTCCCCTTGTTCCAGAGGGTTTATCCAGAACCACTGATTTGTCCCAGTTTTTTACAAGAAATGTCCCAGGTGTCCCTAGTTTTGACCAGTTTGATCCCTGCCAACAGTAAAGAGAGACATAAATTGTTTGTTTTCCATATTTTTGGAATATAAGGTAGGGTTGTGTGGTAATACGGTATTACGGTACACCGCCCTATCAAAAAGTAGCAATGGTCTCAGTTTCATTACTGTCATTTAAAAAAATCTGCAGCACATAAGGACCTAATATAATATGTTTCTGTTAACTGTGCGGGGAGATGACGTTTGATTAGTTTCATTCCGCTAAGGGAGACGAAAACAAGACGGCAAGTCTGACTGCGAGCGAGTTTGTCCCCTGCCAAAAAAATACTAGTACTTCTGCAATGTGGCAGCATTTTTGCTTCAGACGCACATTTCTTTACGTTTTACAGAAACTAAACTTAAAACTGCATGGCTAATTTGCATGAACTGTATGCACTGATAAAAACAGCTCGCTTCTTGGGCTGCTGATGCGGTTCGACTTTTGTTGGACTAAAGGAGACGACTCAGTGGAGTATATGTTTTTTCTGTGAAAAGGATGTTGCGGCTGACGGTGAACAGTGTTGGGGAGTAACAGATTACATGTACCAGAGTTATGTAATCAGAGTACAAATTATGAGTAACTGTATTCAGTTACAGTTACTGTTTCAGTGAGTGGTAATTGGATTACAGTTACTTTGTTGAAATAAATGGATTACACTGCGGTATTTTCCTGTTTTCACATTTGGGGCTATGTCCCTTTTTTTTTTTTTTTTCTCGGTAATTCCACTCATTGCCGGACACTAAACCAGGTCTAAACCAGGTCTAAACCAGGTCTAAAACCAGGTCTAAAACCAGGTCTAAAACCAGGTCTAAACCAGGTCTAAACCAGGTCTAAAACCAGGTCTAAACCAGGTCTAAAACCAGGTCTAAACCAGGTCTAAACCAGGTCTAAACCAGGTCTAAACCAGGTCTAAAACCAGGTCTAAAACCAGGTCTAAACCAGGTCTAAACCAGGTCTAAACCAGGTCTAAAACCAGGTCTAAACCAGGTCTAAACCAGGTCTAAAACCAGGTCTAAAACCAGGTCTAAAACCAGGTCTAAAACCAGGTCTAAAACCAGGTCTAAACCAGGTCTAAACCAGGTCTAAAACCAGGTCTAAACCAGGTCTAAACCAGGTCTAAACCAGGTATAAACCAAAGACTGAACCAGGTCCAAACCAGGTCTAAAACCAGATCTAAACCAGGATTTAACAGGACTAAATCATGCTCATTCTATCAATAATATTTTTAATTTGGTTAATTAAAGTCTGGGCTTTTTTATTTTCTTTTAGCAGACAAAACATCTTATGTGAAGATTTTCTAGTTTTTGCTTCTCTACAGAAAATCAAGTAATCCAAAGTATTCAGATTACGTTACTCACCTAAAGTCACTTAATGGATTATGTTACAAACTACATTTTGGTGTGTGTAATCTGTAATCTGTAGGGGAATACATTTTAAAAGTCACCTTCCCAACACTGGTGGTGAGTCTGTTCTGTGCGTGTGTCGCGTTGAAGATGGTTCATGTTTAACACTTCAGAGATTATAAACCTGCAGGTCACACACATAGACCGTACACTGGTGCGGCTTCAGTTGCCAAAGTCGTACTAAAACATTTTGGTAATACAGTAATATCGTCAATCCCGGTAAAATCCTGAGACGGTTTAACAGTATCAAAATTTGGATACCTCCCAACCCTACTATAAGGCGCACTTAAAACCCTTTCATTTTCTCAAAAATTCAACAGTGTGCCTTATGTATTAATTCTGGTTGTGCTTACTGACCTCAAACCGATTTTATGTGGTACACGGCGCTCAAAAATCTGTCAAAATGTTTTAGTACGACTTTGGTAAACTACGAAGCCACACCACTTGATGGATTGTCGGAGCATTACAGCTACTGTAGTCTGGAGTAAAGGGCGAAGCATAGTTCTGCGTTGACTCAACACACATCACCGCCATCGCCTTGTCACAGAGAGAACACTCATATTCCAATGAGTCGTGTCCTTTAGTCCGTCAGAAGTTGAACAGCATCAACGCACAAGGAGTGAGCTGTGTTTTTCAGCACTTATAGTTTATTAAATGAGCCATATGGTTTTAACTTTAGCTTCTGTAAAATGTAAACAAATGAGCGCAAAGCTGCATTAAACACATTATTACTCAATGTATATTTGAGTCGTCCTCATTAGGAAATAAAAAAAACATTACTTATTGATTCTGCACATATCTGCCATGTTTTTCAGTCCACTGTGATATTTGTTTCCTTTCTTTTTTTTTTTTTTCCTCCTGTGAAAATGCCAAAGGACTGAAAACCTGTGATTATTATTTTAATTTTTTTAGTTTTCGTTGTTCAAGCTGTGTGATTTGAAACCTTAAACAAACACTAAGTACATTTTTCTTTGCCCGGGATGTTATGCAAGACAAATCTAAAACACTGTACCTGATTTTTACCTCAAAACATGAAAAACAGAACTAGTTTAAACAGTTTGCAGTGGTCTGAAGTTTTTCCTCACTTATTTATGCATTTTGAGCTTTCTAATTCTTCACCATGATCAGTTTAGAACCACTTTTCACAACTTTCAGGGGCCAAAGCGGAGTATTGCCATAACAGTGATGCCAGCAACAGCTATCATGCTCACCGTGCACTTCCTGATTATCTTACAGTTCACAGCAGACTTATTTTGACCTCAAGATCTGCTTATACAATATATCTGTCCTGAGGTAAGACATATTTTTGCTCAAATCCATTGAAAAAACTCAGGTACAGGCCCTTTCTGTAAGTATGCGGTGTGTAAATTTTTGCTTTGTTTGGAATGTTTCACAAAATGACAATGTAAGAAAGAAAAATTGTGTAACGCTATATTCTGTGACATTGCGGCAAATTTATAATAACTCTAAGGAAACACACAGGGATGTTTGATTATGGCAAAAATAACAGTCATGATTATTCGGCTCATGAGTTAAGTCATTTTGTTTATATTTGAGAACTCCTTTATCATAAATATCGTGAAAAATATTGAGCTCAAAATTGATCTTTAACACTTATTTGTCAGTTGGCGTTCTCTGCCTTTGTATCATGAGTCAAAAATAAAGAGTCATGCAAAGACAAAAGGCAGTAACAGTGCATGTTTCGTTTGTGATTTAGTTAATAAATATATTTTACTGTAAAATCCAATGTCTCGCCTCCTTTTTGTTGTGTTCTTGGCACAGAGTCTTAACACGTTAAATAAATAAACTTTTGTATTCAATTATACTTAAATTATCTTTAAAGTGAAAATATTTGTTGTATTTATTCATAATGTACACACTATGCTGCAAAGTCACTTGTGTTTCAAACTGTTTAACTGTGTAAGTGTTGCCGCACGATCCTGATCAGCACTAAACAGGAAATCCAAAGCTCTTCTGTATCATTTCAAACAAACACATGATGTATTATCACGATATGCCTCTCTCGGTACGATAAGTATTGCGATATTTCGGAGGGGTTAACAGAATTGTACATTTCCTTTTTAAATACCTTGACCAGTCTTCAGAGTGAATCATTACTGACATATTCCAATGACATAAGATTTGAAAGTGCTTAATAACAGTTATTTTATTATGTAGTAAAGTAAAGGATCATGGTCTGTGCAGTTCCCTCTTTTTTAAATACTTTTAAGTGAAAAACCTTGCAATTTGATATATTGTGATAGACCATGATATTGTGAGAGTTCTTACGATGTCACAATATTTCAATTATTGTTCCATTCCTGCTGTCAGTGCGTTTATTGTCGTCTCTTTTAAACAAAAGGCCCAGATGTTCAGAAATAATCATAACAGCCTCATGAGAACTTAACAGAACACTGTAGTTGCGTGAAAGAGATACTAAAATGCCATGACTTTTCCAAAACTTTCAGTGAATTAACACATTTCCATCACTTTTTCAGGCCTCAAAAATGATATTTTCAATTTCTATGACTTTTCTAGAATTTCCGTGACCGTGGGAACCCTGTCAGATGAAATGCAGAGTTTTTTGGGGTTTTTTAGAGGGTTACAGACTCTTTGGATGAAATGCAGATTTTTTTTTTTTTTTTTAGAGGGTCACAGGCTCTTCAGACGAAATGTAAAGTTTTTAAGAGGGTCATAGGCTCTTCAAAAATAAAAATAAAAAAATAAGCTCTTTGGATGAAATGTAGTTTTTTTGTTTTTATTTTTTATTAAGAGGGTCACAGACTCTTCAGATGAAATGCAGAGGTTTTATTATTATATTATTATTATTATTTTTAGAGGGTCATAGGCTCTTCAGATGAAATGTAAAGTTTTTTAAGAGGGTCATAGGCTCTTCAAAAAAAAAAAAAAAAAAAAAAAGCTCTTTGGATGAAATGTAGTTTTTTTTGTTTTTTTGTTTTTTTTATTAAGAAGGTCACAGACTCTTCGGACAAAATGCAGAGGTTTTATTATTATATTATTATTATTTTTGGAGGGTCATAGGCTCTTCAAAAATAAAAAAAAAATTAAAAAAAAGCTCTTTGGATGAAATGTAGTTTTTTTTTGTTTTTTGTTTTTGTTTTGTTTTTTATTAAGAAGGGTCACAGACTCTTCGGACGACATGCAGAGGTTTTATTATTGTATTATTATTATTTTTAGAGGGTCACAGGCTCTTCAGACGACATGTAAAGTTTTTAAGAGGGTCAAAAACTAAGCTCTTCGAATGAAATGCAGAGTTTTTTTTAGAGAATCACAGCCTCTTGATCAAATCCTCTGATCAAATGCAGAGGTTTTTTTTAGCAGATTTTTTTATTTATTTATTTTTTTTTAGAGGGTTACAGACTCTTTGGACAAAATGCAGAGGTTTTATTATTATATTATAATTATTTTTAGAGGGTCACAGGCTCTTCAGACGAAATGTAAAATTTTTAAGAGGGTCATAGGCACTTCAAAAAAAAAAACTAAGCTCTTCGGAGGTTTTTTTTTTAGCTTTTTTTTTTTTTTTAAGGGTTACAGGCTCTTCGGACGAAATGCATTTTTTTTTTTTCATACTCTTACTGTGAAAGTCTCCAGACCGGAAGCTCCGCAAAGTTGCTCCGCTCGGTGTAGTTTTGTCGTCGGTGCGATGTGCGCGGCGCCTCTCGCTGTTGCCGCTGTATTTTCCTGCATAAAATGGTCCGACCAAAGACAGCGGAGAATCAGAAGGACCAGAGGCGGCAGCGGCAGCAGCAGCAGCAGCCCGGGGGTGAGTGTCTGGAGCCCGGGTTAAAGCGGACACGGCGCGGCTGGAGCTCCGGGCTTTTTTTTTTTTTTTTTTTTTTTTTTTTTGGGATGCGCCTGTTTATGCATTATTACACTGTACCCATAAAGGCCTGCATGTTTTAATTAAATATTATAATTATAGGCTGTAAAAGAGCTCGAGATGCAACGTCCTAATACGCCGTTACCATGGAAATCGTCCCCGTTTGCGTCGGTGGTGCAAAAGTGTCACGCGCAGACATTTTAGCCAAAACAATGCTAAAAAAGTAAACATGAGCGCGGCGGAACAAACCGATAAACTGCTCTGTCACTGCTGCTGCACACACCCTCCCCGCTACAGTGTCAGGAAACATCTGAATAAACGCGAAGTGAAGTGTTAATTTGAGCTCTAATTACTGTAATAGTGTTAAAAGGGAAAGTGAAAGTAGTTTGTGCATTTTGTTGCTGAGATGAGCTAGCGTGTTAGCTAACGACAGGGGGAGATAAAGGACAATTAAAGTCTCCTCAATAATAAATCTCTACACACACAGACTCATAAACATGTTTTTTAAGGAGGAAATGTTCAGTTCAGCTGCGTCTGATCCAGAGTCTGTATCAGTGTTTAATGTGTCTGCAGTGTCCCTGAGGTTCAACTCTGCACTGCTTTTCTACTCTTTACTTTTACATTTGTATGACGGAGTATAAGGGTTAAAAAAAATGATGTTGGCGCTACGAGAATAAAGTCGTAACTTTTCTACATTAAAGTCGTAATATTATGAGAATAAAGTTATAAGATTACGAGAATGAAGTCGTAATAAAATCACAGTCAAAGTGAAAAATGCAGCAGAAGAAGAACCTTGTTTTTCAATATAAAACCAAAAATAAGAAAATGAAAAAAAATTTTCTTCATTATTTGCGCCTCCGGACTGAACCAGGACTAAACCAGGTCCAGGACCAGACCGGGAGAACTGAGACCAGGATTGAGACTGGGAACAGGACCAGGACTGACACTGGGACTGAAACCGGGACCAGACCATAACCAAACCGTGATACCGGACTAGACCGGGACTGAGACCGGGACCAGACCAGGACTGAAAATGGTTTAGTCCTTGTTTAGTCCTGATTCAATCCTGATTCAATCCTGATTCAGCCCTGGCAGTCCGTATGTGGCGCAATAGTCCCGCATCACATTTTACAGTCACGGAAACATCATTTCCCATTTCCAAGACTTAGACCAGGACTAAACCAGGACTAAACTGTTTTCAGTCCTGGTCTGGTCCCGGTCTGGTCCCAGTCTCAATCCTGGTCTTTCTGGTTTGGTTCCAGATCTGATTTAGTCCTGATTCAGTTCTTGTTCAGTCGAATGAACGAATGATACACGGATTCTTCTCCTTTACAAAATGCTCCAGATTCTCCATTCTCCACTTGTTCATACTTTCCGAGCAGTCGATATTCTCTTACGACTTTATTTTGACTACGACTTTATTCTCATAAAATTACTACTTTGTTCTCGTAAAATTACGACTTTTTCTGGCTTCGACATTATTCTCATAATATTTTGACTTTAATGTCGAAATATTACATCTTTATTCTCGTAGCGCCAGCATTTTTTTTTTTTATCTGACCCTTATACTCCGTCGTACATTTGTTATTAACTGCAGCAGCTCTTTCACGTTTTATAGATGTGTGTAGAACTTTTACAGGAGAAAATGTCATTACTCCCCAAGGACTTATGCCTCAGCTGTAAATATAAAGTAATGGAAAGAAGCACCTGATTTTATATCTAATGTTCTTAAAATTTCAGGCTCCCATAGAGTTCTGTTCAGTTCACTCCGACCATATATATATTTATATTACTTGCACACTTGCACCTAGGGCTGGGCGATATGGAGCAAAATATTTATCTCGATATATTTCGCTATATCTTGATATACGATATACATCTGGATATATGTACAGGAACAATAACCCCCCAAAACTACTGTAAAAACAAATAGGCCAAATTCCACAATGTGTATTTTTATTGAAGTGCAAGAGGTAGACAGTTCTTATGTCACATTTAAGATTACAAAAAACCTTAATTACATAAATAATAATTTAACTGTAAAATAAAATAAATAATACATATTTCCTTCTTTTCATTCACGAAATAAAACAACTCAAGCTCATCTTTTCATTAACTCTGTAACCATAGGATAACCATGAGCTCCTTTAGCAGAGGAAGCTCAGGAGGTTCATTATTTTAACAGATCCATGTTCCTCACAGTGTCAGGAGCTCTGAGGTTTCCCACAATCCACTGCAGCTCAAACCCAACGTTTCCAAACACTGTTGTACAAGTGACACTGCAGCAGATTATTCATTAAAATCTTCTACATAAATAAACTTTACATGATTAAACTTTACAACATATAAACCAAAACGACTCTAGAGCCACATCAGCCCGTTTGACATTATAATGTGTTTAGTGCAGATTTGTGCACGTGTTTATGTTTTACAGAAACAAAACTTAAAACCACATGGCTCATTTGCATAAACAGCTCTTTTCTTGTGCTGCTGATGCGGTTCAGCTTCTTTCGGACTAAAGGACATGACTCAGTGGAATATGAGTGTTCTCTCTGTGACAGAGGATGTGCTGCTGATGGTTTTGTCTGTAAATGATGGAAAAGGTTCATGGTGTTAGAAGCTTTTCACTGGCACCAACTTTCAGCATTTACGGCGATAGTGAAGAGTGAATGAGACTCAAGCAGAAAAATCAGGGAGGTGGGAGCGCGGAGGTGACGACAGAGGAGGCAACAAGTGAAGCGGCAAAATCAGAATTGAATACAAGCATTATATTGATATATACGATACAACTCTATAGAAACAACAGTCGCGCTCTTATCGTGAGCAGGTCCTTGCAGGTCATCTCCCCATGGATCTGTGCTTCTCCCCCTCCCCCTGTTCACTGCCCCACATCCAGCCTGAAAATCACACAGTTTGATCTTTAAAGTAAACTCCGACCAATCCACAGGGAACCAGGACCTCACTGAGACTCCAGCGATTAAAGAGGAGCCAGAGGAACAGCGCGTGAGTCAGGAGGACGAGCAGCTGCAAGTGTGAGTCTCAACTCATTTATTATTTATAGTTTATTTTTATTTATTTTTACGATCATTTGTTGTGTCTTTGGTTTCTTTTCAGGTCTGTTCTTGAGTACAGAGCCGTGTGTGTGAAGACAGAAGAGTCCTCAGAGGGAGAGGACGTCAGCTCAGAGACACACGTCCACAGAGAGACTGAGGGAGACGGGGAGCGCTCCTCTGACAATGATGAAGACCGTGGAGCTCCGTTCGTTTATTCAGTCTGTGAGAACAATTTTTACTCATTCATCTGGTCTCAAATATCATCAGAGGACACACCGAGAGAAAACATTCAGCTGTGAAAGAGTTCAAGCTTTTATTTTTACATTGTGTGCAGCAGGTGTCCAGATCCCCCCTCCCCCCTCTGAGGACATCGCAGAGACGCCCCAGGTGAAAGAAGAGTCAGAGGAACAGAGCATCAAACATGAGGAAGAGCAGCTGCAAGTGTGAGACTCTAACACTTTAAATACTTTTATCAATAAATATGATCAGATTATCTCTATTTTAAAATCAGGATTCAGGAGCATTTGGGATTCGTCCAAAAAATTACCTGCTAAATGAATCCCATATTGTGAAAAGCAGGGATGTCCCGATCACATTTTTCCGAGTCCGAGTACTTTGATTTTGAGTATCTGCCGATACCGAGTCCCGATCCGATACATCTATAAAAATTATGAAATGAACTAACAGCAAAGAATAAGATCCAGGATGTGTGCGGGATCAGATTGTATTGATGTCAATGTGTGGTAAAAATCTAATGTCCAAAACTTCAATTTTATTAACTTTTCTAACCATTCAGCATCATTGTTGAAAATCTTGACTTTTCACACTCTGGTCTTGGAATGTGTAACTTAGTAAACTTAATGAACTGGACAGAGCAGGAACCAGACCAGAACCAGATCAGAGCTGAGACTCGACTCTGCACAGTCTACACGTTGTATATTTGATATTAAATGGAAGTCTGTGCATTACATTTGAAACATTTAGGCTCGTCTATGAAATCCAAATAATACAAAATCTTACCAAATAAAAACGAGATGACAGAAGCCCCACAGCCTCTCCCCCACCTGCTGGGGTTCTTTTTTATACACACCCACTAATTGACTGATCACAGGTGAGGCTGTAATCTAGGATTGGGTGCATCATATGACAAGGCGACAAAACTTTTGTCTTGCCAAAATCTGACCTTTCTGTGTTCATTAAATGATCAATCTTTCTTCAGTGAAGCAAATTTATTTTAGTATATTGAGCATAATTTGGGAGGGTTTTAGTTTTCATATGAGACATTTCTAAAACCAATCGATTAAATTAAAGTCAGGTTATAAGCTTTTGTTTCTACAAAATGGATAAGAGACAAGACTTTTGTCAGGGACTGTATTTCTGAAGCCTTTGGTTAGTTATGAAATATGGTTTGACTCATTGTTACGAGATGTGGACGGACAGGGCCCAACCTCGACTGGACCCTGACGCCCAGACTCCCGACTCCATCCAAGTCTGCCCCAACAAAACTGGTGCTAGTGTCATGATCAATAATCCTTATATCCCTGGTCACCGCAGTGCACAGCGCAACAAGTCTAGTAACTCTTATCATGTACTAAATAATATTCTCTACAAAAATGTATGAACAACAAAACAAAAGACTACTGGTTTGCAGGTCTGATCAGTATATTGTATTTTATTCACAATGCAGGATATTTCCACTGTCTCTGCATAAAACCACATGCATTTACTGTATTTTCCGCACTATTAGTCACTCTGGATTATAAGACGCACTGTCATTCACTTTTTTCACAAATAAACCGCACCGGACTTTAAAGGAAACACAACAGTGTGATGGGTGAGTGGTTTTGTTTGTTTGGTGCGTTCACGGTGACTCTGGGCTTTGTTCAGTTGTGGCGTGTAGGGAGGGTGCTGTCTGGAACCAACGGATTGTCGGCGTGTTCGCAGTGACTCAGTTGTTCAGTCGTGTCTAGAAGTGGCACATTTTTCGGTTCGTTCCTTCGTTCCGTTCCTCGTCGGCGTGGAGGGATGAGTGTGTCTGTGGGTGTTTTTCGCTGGGCGGTCGCTGTCTGCTCCATGTGTGTTTGCGTGTTCTGTGGGTGGGCGCTCTGGATTGTGGGGCGCGCGGTCGTTTTTTGATGGGGTTAGAGGCTTAAGAGCGCGTCTAATAGCCCGGAAATACGGTACACATATACCCACACATTTCTTTCACACCCATGTACATGTGCAGCAGGTTTTATAGATAAATAAGATTCATTCAGACACACAGGATTATATCACTCAGAGTTTTTATTTTCCATTAATTTTGGTCTTATTTCCTTTCCCTTCAGGTCTGTCCCGGAGTACAGAGCCGTGTGTGTGAAGAAGGAAGAGTTCTCAGAGGGCGAGGACATGAGCTCAGAGACACACGTCCACTCTGAGACCGACGGAGACACAGAACACTCCTCTGACAACGAAGAAGACTGGGGAGATCCATTCAGCTGTTCATCTGTCCAGGACTCGGAGGCTGACGGAGACTTTAAAGACGTCCAGATCCGAGCCAGAAACTCCGAGAGCAGCTCCACTGTGGACTACGGCGACATGTCAGGAACAGCCGAAGGAGCCGAGAGGAGGAAACACCAGTGCCATTTATGTAACGAGGGATTTGCGTCGAAGTATAATTTACAAAGACACGCTAGAGTTCACACAGGAGAGAAACCATTCAGCTGTTCATTCTGTAAGAAAACATTTGCCCAAAACGATCATCTGAAAGAACACATGAGAACACACACAGGGGAGAAGCCTTACAGCTGTTCTGTGTGTGAGAAAACCTTCACCCACAAGGGCAGCCTGTACGCACACGGAAGACTGCACACAGGAGAAAAACCCTACAGCTGTTCTGTGTGTAATACACGGTTTACCTCAAGCTACAACCTGAAAAGTCACATGAGCACGCACACAGGAGACAAACCTTTCAACTGCTCAGTCTGTAACTTACGGTTCACCTCGAGCTCTCACCTGAAAAGACACATGGGCACGCACACGGGAGACAAACCCTACAGCTGTTCAGTCTGTAATATGAGATTTTCCTTAAGCTCGAGCCTGAACAGACACATGAGAACACACACGGGGGAAAAACCTTACAGCTGTCCTTTCTGTAACGCACGGTTCACATCCAGCTACAAAATGAAAAGCCACATGAGCGGACACACGGGGGATAAACCTTTCAGCTGTTCTGTTTGTAACACGCGTTTCAACTCAAGCTATCACCTGAAAAGACACATGATCACGCATACGGGAGAGAAACCCTTTGGCTGTTCCATGTGTGAAAAACAGTTTACGTCGAGTTATTACCTGAAATGTCACATGAGGAGTCACACGGGAGAAAAGCCTTACTGCTGTTCTGTCTGCGACGCTCGGTTAACCTCCAACGACTCTCTGAAATGTCACATGAGGATCCACACCGGAGAAAAACCTTACAGCTGTTCGGTCTGTAATACAAGGTTTAGTTTGAGTTCTTCACTAAAAAGACACATGAGAACTCACGCAGAAGAGGATTAGAGTTTGGGTTGGTGTTAAAAAAGCACCTGTGGTTTAAATTCAGTTTGGAATTCTCAGTTAACCACGTTTTATTTAAGATTTGACAAAAAATCTGAAAAGGGCCCATATTACACTATTTTTTTAATCTGTTATGATGCTGCTTCCTCTTCACAGACATTCCCTGAGTTGTGTTTTGTTTGATTTAATCCTGCAAATTTAGGAGTTCTCGCTTCATGACATCACAAGGTGGGACAGAGCGTTTTGAGCTTTGGAGATGTGACAGACTGATAATAAAGAGTTACTCAAATGTGTGAATGAAACAAAAGACAACTCCTGGTCTGTTTTTGTGGAGGTAACAACATTATAACATAACTTAAAGTTCATACGAGTCAGTTTTTTGTGATATAAAACCTTTAATAATTTTATGATTTTACTTCGTAGTTGGACACAGGCGGCAGATGTGACATGTGTAAAGATGATTCTAAAATTGTTTTCAGCGACCAAACAAGGGCCAAAACTAAACTGCACAATAGTTAAATGGTTAAATGGAATAGTTGAGTGGACTAATGAAGATATGAATGAAAATACCTGTTATGGTGTTAAATCAGTACCTGAATGCCTTCCTCGTGCGTAAATTGCTGCGTTTTTGTTGTTGTTCTGTTTTTGGTGTAATGTTGTGTGTTGCTGCAGGTAGAGGTATTGATTTTCTGTTGAATTTCTCACTTTGATATCAGTTTTTTCAGTGTAAAAAAAATCAGTCTGTATAAAAATGCCAGAGACGTGTCAGTCTGGATTTTCCAAACAAAGTCAGATGAACTCCCTTAGGATTAATGCCTTGGCATCTTGGATCTTTGCACTTTTGCACAAATTTAATAATTCAAACTTGTTTTTAGAGTTAAAAAATTTAAAGTGAGAAATTCAGTGCCATTTAAAATTCAGCATCTGAAACAAACGGTCGTCATGGTGATGACATTTCTTGTTTTCTGCTACATTAAATATTCTTTATACGATGGTTTTTTGTTGCAATTCTTTGTTCACACAGACACAGCTCCAGTTTGGAGCACAAGGACAAAACCAAACACAGGAATCAGGAGGATCCAGGCGTCCTGCTCTTGAATCTGTGCAGTGGTACAATCTGCTGAAGGGTTAAAGGATTTTAAGAGTAAAAAAAAAAAATAAATATATATATATATATATATACACATATCTATATAATGTATATGTATATATATATTTGTAATTGAGCCTATCCACAAGAAACAAAATCAGGCTCAAAGTTCAACATCTTTTCTGTTCTCTGCTCCAAATTCATTAAAAAAAAATTTAAATAATGAAGAAGAGAGAATGAGAGCCTCGCACATCAACTACTAGAGACGGGTGCGTTGGAGGAGAGGGAGCAGCCCCAGAACATACAGAAAAATCACGCACACCGTCTTACTTGCAAACTGTGAAATTTATTAGGACAAACCGTGCAACGTTTCGGCACTAGGCCTTCGTCAGGCAAACGGAATATTGAAAATAATGAAGAAGACAAAATTAAATTCTGTAACTGAACAAAAGTTTTTTCATCAAATACATTTCACAGTTTGTCCGAGCTGCTGCTTCAGTTCAGAATGTCTTTTAAAATAATATTCCCACTTTTACACAACTTTACCAAGACAGAAAACCTTTTTTTCTTTACAACAAGAAAAGAAACTTCATCTTATTTCTATGGGGTATTTAACGGTTAACACAGGACATTTAGATCAGTATTTTACCTTTTATTGTTCTGAAAATCAGAGTCCATCCTACGAATGAAACTACTGCACATCACATCAGGTCTGTCCTGGTTTAGTCCCTGAATTAGTCCGGGTTCAATCCTGGTTCAATCCTAGTCTATTTCTTGATTTAGTGCTGGTTCGGTCCTGGTTTAGTCCTTGGTTCAGTCCTGGTTTAGTTCTTGGTTTAGTCCTGGTTTATTTCTTGATTTAGCCCTGGTTTAGTTTAGTTTTTTTTTACAGTGTAGTGTGTTTTGTAGTGTAGGTGGGCGGAGCTTGTCTATGACGTCATTAGAGGGAGAGAGAGAGGGAGGTGCGTTGGAGCGACACAAACACCCTCCTCCTCTTTTTCATCCTCCTCTTCGTCCTCATCCTCCATCACTCTCTCTCTCTCTGCATCCGGCGGATTATCCAGGGTTTAACTGCACAGAGGAGACGAGGAGACGAGGACAGAGGAGACGAGGAGACAAGGAGAGAGGAGACAAGGAGAGAGGAGGGAGGAGCCGGGGAGAGAGGAGACGAGGATACATCAGGATAAACGAGGGAACAAGTGGGCGGCGAGGAGACAAGGACAGAGGAGAGAGGACAAAGCAGTTAGGAGCCTAGGAGAGAGGAGACGTCAGGTTAGAGGAGTTAGGAGACGAACGAGGAGGGAGGAGCCGAGGGGGAGAGGAGGCAGCTGAGGACACATCCGAGGAGACGAGGAGAGAGGGGAGGAAACAAGGAGAAAGGCAACGAAACGAGGAGTTATGAGACAGGAGTTACAAAACCTCTGATTGGTCCAGATGAGATTTCAAACGCTGAATCCTGTGTTCTGATTGGTCAGTGGAGAGTTTGAAGGCTTCTGATTGGTTCGAGGATCGTTTGTGAGTTTGCGATTGGTCGGTGTTAAGCGTAAACTCTTCTGATTGGTCGGTGGATCGTCCGGGAGCAGCTGATTGGTCGGTGGCCATGATGGGGAAGGACTACACTTTGGCCATTCTCATCGTGAACTATGACGGTAAAACTTTAATCACGTTTGTATCAAGTAAGGAAGTTTTCAGAAATATTTGTGTGTGTAGAATAGAAATCTGTGCATATTTGGCTGTAGTTGAGCTTAAAATAAATATTCGTAAACTCTCGAATGAGTCCAGTCGTACATAAAATGTGTTGTGTGTGTTTTATCCATCAGAATATGAACTGAAAAGTTACAACATCAAGAATTACAGACACAAAATGAAAAAATATGATTATGCTTTCTTCAGTACGAATACAAATTCACAGACGCGACTCGACTGTCAAAAATACATCATCACTTCACAGGGATTATTTACTGAGCAGAAGAAACATCAGTCAAGATCAAGACTGCGCATGCGTCACTGCTCGATGACAACTTAAGCTCTAACAGAGAAGGTAAAAGCGAAGGGTTAAAATGAGCCCGGCTGATGCCACCTAATGCCTCCACTCAATTTCATTTCTCTCAAGCGGCTAGGTCAGGAAACAGAAGACACTAGACGGTTTGCAAGATCCCCGGACGTTGTAGACCGTACACTGGCTAATCAGAGAAGAGCTGTGAAGCCATGACGTTAAACTCGTCACGTCTGTCTGGGTCCATTTTGTAGAACAGCACAACCTTAAACAAAGCGTCGAGATGGATGTAGACGAAGACAGACTGTGTTGGTGACAATTCCTGAGATCGAGGATTTAAAGCTGGAACAAAGAGAACTTTTGGTGAATTTTATCAAGGGGACTGCCTTTCTTCCTACCGGATTTGATGCATTACATACATCACAACCAAATAACAGTGATTGATTAAAAAAAGTACCCGCCTACTGTCGAGTGAACGAATCCTAATGCTGCGAGGTCAGACGGTTTCTACAAAGTGAAACCAGCTGATGAATCAGTCTAACAACAAGGAGCTACAACAGTTGACCAATAGGTCGGTTAATTACAATTTATTGTAAAAAAATATGTCATTTCCTGTTCATAGGAGGTTTTTCTAGAAAATATGGGGCAGTTGGTAGAGTGTTTGTTCACTGATCTGAAAGTTGGCGGTTTGAATCCCACTCTTGACATCATTGGTTGAGTGATCAGATCCACTGACCCACAGGTTGGCTGGTGTGATTCCAGCTCCCACAGATGAATGCTGTTGTTGTGTCCTTGGGCAGGACACTTAACCCACATCGCCCCCAGTGTCTGTGTACACTAGTGTGTGAATGGGTGAGTGGTTCCTTTTTATAAAACTGCTATAGAAAAATGTGACCATTTACCAATATTACCAGTATATTTTTACAACAAATTGTGATTAACCCACATGCTCGTCAGCTGTTGTAGCTCCTTGTTGTGCCGTTACTGCATTTTGTCGTGGAGCGATGATGCATGCACAGTCTTGATCTTGATCGATGTTTCTTCTGCTTGTGAAGTGATGACGTACTTTTGACAGTCGAGTCGCGTCTGTGAATTCATATTTGTCCTGAAGAAAGAGCAATCGTAAATTTTCATTTCGTGATTGTAATTCTTGACGTCGTAACTTTTCAGTTCGTATTCTGATGGATAAAATACACAAAACACATTTTAACGATCGGACTCATTTGAGAGTTTACAAATATTTATTTTATGCTCAACTACAGACAAATATGCACAGATTTCTATCATACGCACACAAACTTCTCTGAAAGTTTTCTTACTCCACACATTTGTAACTTTATGACCATGTGATAAACAGGACAGGTGGCAGAGTGGTTAACCCTGTGGTCTCGGGTTTGATTTTCACACCACATGATGAGTGTGGAGGTTTAAAAAAGACCCACTGTGCCTGTTTCTGCTCCATAGTTAGAATCTGTGACACCTGTGGATCTTTCTGTTATCATTTGGACATTTTAAAACACAATATTGATCTAAAATGACTTAATAAAACATAGACGTCCCACTGGGCCCTGCAGTTTTTTGGTGGGGAACTGACGTCAATGTCCACGTCATCACAAACAAAACATCCAACCCACTTTATTTCTACAGCACGTCTCAAAAACAAAACAGTTTCCAAAGTGCTGCACAATACAAATAAAACATATCCTCTACTTAACTCTACTAATCCTCGTTGAGACAATAAAACGAGTAAAAACAAATAAGAGAAAGCATAACAAAGAATAATAAAAAGGCAAAAAACATAGATCCGAGACGTAACGTGGGGTCAGTCCATTCAAAGCTTTAAAAACAATCAATAAAATCTTAAAATAGAGTCTAAAAAAACAGCTGACAGCTCCTTTTTTGGTCATTTATATTAAAGTGATGATGAATTCTACGTGTATGACCCATTAAGAAAATAAAAGCGCGTCAAAAATCGGGCAAAACACTCCAAATACAACTTTGTGAGAGGAAATGAAAAGGGGAAACTGCTGTAAAAAAGTCCCGTTTGCACAATAGGTCTGTTTTACCCCGAGGATTATAACTGAAATATGAGGAACTAAATATAAAAATCCTCCCAGGTCAGTTTTTTGGAGCAGCTGTGGTTCAGTGTTTGGCTCAAGGGCGCAACAGCAGAACACACCTGCCCCTTCTGACACACACGGGGGAGGGCATCTGGCTCACCGCAGAGGAGCACGGGAGGGCATCTGGCTCACTGCAGAGACACCGGACTCTTGTGAATTATTAATCGTTTGTGAGAATTGCTGAGTGGATGAAACAGGAGCCGGACGCCGCAGAGGAACTAAAACTAAAATAAAACCATGATTACAGCTGACACTTTCTTTTACGCCAGAGCAGTTTTTGTTATTTTTGATTTAAAAACAAAAAAGTCGTGTTTCGCCGCCGCCACCGCTGAGATTCAGAGCGGCAGATGTGTGAAAGTAGAAAGTTCAATCTGAGTCTGATTAAAGCCGACGTGTTGTCAATCAATCAATCAATCAACAACTTTACTAATCCCAAAGAGTAAGAGAGTCTGTACCTAGTGTCAATTTTTTACACTTGCCAAAGTAAAATTCCATGAGAAATTTCATAAAATTCTCTTGATGTCGACTGGGTCCACCAAGCCTCTGAAGTTTAGTGTCTGCAGAAACCAAAATCTGAGCTGAAACATCGTTTTTTTTCTTTAATAACATCAAAACTAATTCATTTAGCCCTATAGGCGAGTTTCAGCTGACGTCATTGTTATTAAAAGCCCGTGTTGCATGCTGGGAAATATTTTGGTCAGAGGCAAGAAACATGATAGCGGTCAAACACAGTGTGTAACCTCACGTATTTCTCCCCGATAATGGTAAATTCCTGCTGCATTATCAGATGCACAAATAGAAGCACGGAAGAAGGAAAATGTCTTTTTCGTATTCTGAGTGAAAAGAACTGCTAATGGTAAATTAAATAGATTTCAAACATTCGCAGAGCAAACGTAGAAGATCCTAACAAACCGTGGACTCCAACAAGTTCAACAACACATCGAGACTCTTGGAGGTTTTCATCTTTTCTGCTGTGAATGGCCCAGGAGTTTCCACCAAGTCATTGTGGATATCGCCAAAGTGAATATTTGTCCAGGTAGTTGGCGATTCTGACCAGAAATTTGGTTTGGTCCACCTTTTGTCGGGGTTGAAAAGGGTGATTTGGCTCCATCGATGCTTATGACCAATTTCTGGTCAAATGGTCTTGGGTCCTCTGCCGTTAGAGTGGATAAATAACCGGGATCAATACCCTTTACGTGCTTTCTCGCTCCGTCCGTCATGTTGAATTAGTGTTTATTGCCGCCGACCAAAATAATTCCCAGCATGCAACGCGCGCTTTTGTCAACATTGAAACTCGCCTATAGTGACATTGGAAGTTAAATATAAATACGGACATTGTGGATCATCTGCTTCCCCGGAGGAGCTGGAGGAAGTGTCTGGGGTGAAGGAAGTCTGGGAGTCTGTGCTTAGATTGCTGCCCCCGCGACCCGGCCCTGGATAAACAGAAGAAAATGGATGGATGAATCATCTGGTGCCAGTTTTATGTCTCTATCATAAAACTGAGATATGGCAAAAGTGTCTCTGTATCTTGAGTCTCTGTGTCCGTCACTCCTCAGTTGTTTTTTTCCGTGGTGTTGCTGATGTTTCTTGTTTATGATCTGACAGAGCAGTTCAGAGTCACACTGACACACACACACACACACACACACACACACACGAGGAGCAGTGGCTTCAAAATCACACACGAAGACACAAAGTCGGATCGCGCCTCCTCGAAATCAAAGAGCCAGAATCGAGCAAATTCTCCTGTAGTGTGTGACGGCCTTTGGTGTCTCCTTCCATGAACAGCTGCACATCACACTAGAGAGCAGATGATGGCAGCAGATTTATTTATTTTTTTCATTAACTAGTAGCAGTAGAATCCGTGAGTCATTCGTTCATTCATTTTTCAATATAAAACCAAAGAGATGCCGGACTTTTTGCTGCATACGGACTGAACAAGGACTGATCCAGGACCAGAGCGGGACTGAGATCGGGACTGAGATCAGGACCAGAGCGAGAATGAAACCGAGACCAGGCTGAGACTGAGATCAGAACTGAGATCGGGACCAGACCAAGACTGAGACCAGAGCGGGATTGAGACCAAGACTGTGACCAAGATCAGGCCGGGACAAGACCGGGACCAGACCAGGACCAAACCGAGACTGAGACCGGGACTGAGACCGAGACAAGGCTGGGACCAGACCGGAGGCTCAGAACCCACGGCAGGGCCAGAGCTCAAAGCTGAGGCTCAGACCCCGCGGAGGCTCAGAGTCAAAGCTCGGAGTCCACTCTGGTCCCGCTCTGGTCCCGGTCTGGTCCCGGTCTGGTCCCGCTCTGGTCCCGCTCTGGTCCCAGACCTGGATCAGTCCTGGTTCAGTCCGTATGCAGCGCACAAGTTCGGCATCACAGTCACAGAAGTCACGTAAGCGGGAAACGGCCGTTATCCTTTTTTTCCATTTTTCATTTAAACACAAAATCGAAAACTGAAAATACTAATCATTATCTGTTTTTTTCATTTTGGTTTTGGAGACAAATAACGAAGAAAACTGTAGTTTTTTCGTTTTCTTATTTTTCGTTTTATATTGAAAAACGAATGAACGAATGATACATGGATTCAGTAGCGGTAACAGTTTTTAGTATATTTTTCTGTAGTAGTAGTAATATTCCTGTTTCTCAAAGAACTTTCTGTGTGTTCTCGTTGTTCTTGTGTTTGCGTCATCGATCGAAGCTCGGCTCAGATGTTCCTCAGAGATATTTAAAGAGAAATCAGATCTGAGCGTGAGAAACGTGAGAGCTGAGGTCACCAAAGGCCAATGACCAGCAACCGAAAACCCCCCCACACTTCCAGGAATATGAGATAACGAAATGTCCCGCAGTGGGGCTTTAATATTTTGTGTTTTGTATGTTGTTTTTTTCAGATAACCTGTGGATGGACCAGAACCTCCAGTCTGACCCCGAGCTCCCGTCGGGCTGGAGGACCATCACCGACTCAACGGGGACCTACTACTGGCACCTGCCGACGGGTGCGACGCAGTGGGAGCACCCGAGGGAGAGCGCCGCCAGGGGGAGGGGCCAGGGACTGCAGGTGAGGCACATGAACGTATCTTTAATTTTTCTCAAACTGTAGTGAGTGTGTATGTAGGGTGTGCAAAAATATCAAAATATCGTATCGTTTAATGTGAGGATACAGAATCGATATCATGGGCTGTTGTATCGATATATTATAATATAAGAGTATTTTTTTGGTATATTTTACTAAATTATTTTGTTAGAGCTACAGTTTTGCTGCATGTTTAGAGGAAGGAAACTAATTTATGTGACATATTTGACATTTTCACAGTTTTGATGATTAAAATATTTGTGTTTCATTTTAACTTTGCACAAGAAGTGGTTTAACAAAGACTTTTTATTGAACCGTACCGAATCAATTTGAAATACACAACCGGTCAAAAGTTTTAGAACACACTTTTTCCAGTTTTTGACCAAAAATGATTCAGTTTATTGTGGCATTGCACTCAGAAATGAAAGTATAGAACAAATAAACAGTTCTGAGTTGAAAAAGAAATCATGAGATCAATTTATAGAACAAAATGGATTCTAAACTTTTGATTGATGAAAGTGTCCACCTTTGGCAGATAGAACAGCTGAACACACTCGTGGCTCGTTCTTTTTACAACAGAAATCAAATATTGTTCAGAAAGTTCTTCCCTAGTCTGTTGCAGAAGTTCCCATAAATGTGTGGCACTTGTAGGTTGCTTCACTCTTCAGTCCAGTTCATCCCAAACCAGCTCCATGGGGTTTAAGTCTTAAGACCATCTTGTTCTTTTTTCCTGAGGTAGTTTTGGCAGAGCTTGGACTTGTGTTTTGTGTCTTTTATCTTTTTTTTAACCTCTGTCTGTTCAGTTTTTACCTTTGTACCATTTCAAGTTCTTCGTTGGACTTGCGCTACTGCAAAATGCAATAAATAACTGGAAAAATTAGGGTGTTCTAAAACTTTTGACCAGTAGTGAATATCATATCAAACCAAAAGTGCACTGTATCGAGAAATGTATCATATCAGAAACTTTTTAATGCTATTTAGCCCTAGGTGTATGTGAACTCCTCAAAAAACACTCTCAGTGCTTATTTTAATTTTGATATTTTATTCTCTCTGGTTTATGAGCCCCGGAAGTTCTGCTGCTAGAAGGATTTACCTGAAAAATCGTTGCAATTTTGAAGACATGTCGTCTTCTTCTATAGCGACATGTTTACTTTTGTGTTTTAGAAAGTCATTGTTGAATTCCATGACGAGGAACAGGAAGCAGCGAGGTGATAAACTTTTGTCAATTGACACCGTAGAAATATAATAAAAATATTTTTTTTATTCAAATAATCCTTACATTCTTTCATTCTCATCGTTGTTTGTTTCGCATGATCATAAACGATAAACTTTTTCGCCTTCGTTAACATTATTATTAGTTTGTCCGACCATAAACGGGGAAAAAAATTTATAAAAATAAATAGTTTTTTTATTATAGATCCATGGTTGACACTGAAATTACACACAGAGCTGAGCAGCAAAACTTCCAGAGCAAATAAACCAGAGAAAATAAAAGATTAAAATTAAAATAGGCACGATGACTGTTTTTTGATTGGTGTTATGTTATTTGAAAGAAACTTTAAATTAAATATTGGAAATAGAGGTCGAAATCTGTTTTTTGTTTGACACTAAAACGTAATAATGAAATAACAAACTGTTTTCCCATTTTATTGTTTTTAATTCTTAATTGAAATTCAAAAGAACGACTAGTATCTTCATAAAACATGTTAATACGTTGTTTTCAGCAAATAGAGCATTTTCCAAACACTAAAAGGAAACATGGTGATCTAATATGTCATGTGTTTGTAGTTAATACCCCACAGAAGTGTAATACTCGCTCTGTAAAGTCGGCTGACCTCACACAGGGTCAGAAGTCGCGTCTGACGTTTGACTTTTGTTTCAGGAGGAGACGAGTCCCAGCGACAAACCAGAAGAACTGCACAGGTGAGGAGCAAAAAAAAGAGAAATGAAAAAGAAATTAAAGTGAAATCCACAAATGTTTTCTGCTCTCTTCTGCTCGTTTCTTATGGGAGGGCATTTGTGTTGTTTAGAAAATTCATGAAACTGTTTTTATTTCAGATCCTCCTGGCACGAAGATCTGCCCCACCACGACCCCGACACCAAGGTGAGACTCAGACCACTTTAGTCCTGGTTTAGTCCTGGTTCGGTGGTGGGAGTTCAGTCGGGGACCTTCTTGCTGTGAGGCGAGTGCTGCCGGCTCCTTTCTCTAATCTGTATAATCCGGTTTAATCCTGCCCTGGTTTTTCTGCCTCTGGTTTTCCTCTGGTGGAGCCTGGCGGGACCAGACTGTACATTTTTACACAGAGGGACATGAGTCTGGTCTCCACTCCCACCGTCACGTCTCCACCACAGACCAGATAAAGACAAGGACTAACGAAGTGTGACGTCACCCAGCGGCTCCCATCAAGTTCTTAATTAATTAATCAGTCATTGCATTTATAAAACTTTCAAGACTCCCAAAGCTCTTTACAGATCATTATTCATTCACTCCACACTCTGCGGTGGTAAACTACTACTGTAGCCACAGCTGCCCTGGGGCAAACTGATGGAAGAGAAGCTGCCAATCTGCACCATCAGCCCCTCCAACCACCACCATCACTCACACACACACCACTTTCATACTAGGCAATGTGGGTAAAGTGTCTTGCCTAAGGACACAACAGTTTTTGCCACTAGCGCCCCCACCTAAGTCCTGACCAGACCCGGCTTTGTTTCGTTTCTGAGATCTGACGGGATCAGGCTTCGACGAGCCGGTGTGGCCACAAACGAACAAGTCAAATGAAGCTCATTGAGGCCTGCGGTTACAGGGGCACGATTAGAGCCCAGTTGGAATTAGAGCAAATATCTTAACAGCCAAAGAGCTAATAGAACTTTTTCACAATGACAGGAAGTGCCGCGATGTAAAGTAAACGTCACTACCGGTTAATGCTTTTCTGTGGCATTTTCAACCAACAAGCTCCACAAACGATAAACATGAAGAATTTATCCACAACGATCAAGGTCCAAAAGACGAAAATGTAAAGACAAACAACTATCATTATTGAACTATTGAACAAAACTAACGTCACGGTCATGAAAAAAAAAAAATTAAAAACTTGTTCACTTGGACAGATTCTACAATTAAAATCAAAAATCGATTTCATGATGTCGATATGAGCACAGATAGATTTGTGCAGTTTGAATGCTACAGATGTTCACAGATTACATGTCACACTCAGACCTGGTTTAGTCCTGATTTAGTCCTGGTTCAGTCCGTATATGGTGCAAAAATGAGGCATTAAGTCACGGAAATGGGAAACAGCCGTTATCCATTTTTTCCATTCTTAATTTAAGCACAAAATCGAAAACTGAAAAAACTAATCGTTACTCGTTTTTTCATTTTGGTTTTGGAGACAAATAATGAAGAAAATATTTTTGTTTGTTTGTTTTCTTATTTTTGGTTTTATTTTGAAAAACGAATGAACGAATGATACACGGATTGGTAGAGAGATAAGATTTTCATTTTCATTTTAGTCATTTTCCTCGATGTCTTGAGAAAGTTTTGGACCGGTGTTCTGTTTTGTTTTCAGGTCTTCTCCGTCCGGTCTTTGGGCTGGATGCAGGTTCTGGAGGAGGACCTGGGACCGGGCCGGAGCAGCATCGCCGTGAGTCACGTGATCCAACAACTGTCCCACCAAAACCAGACCAGATACCAGACCAGAGACCGGACCAAAGACCGGACTAAAGACCAGACCAAGGACCAGACCAGGGAGAGGACCAGAGACCAGACCAGAGACAGGACTCCAAGATCTACGGGAAGTCCACAGCAGAACCCAAGTCCGAACGAAGACCAGGACCCGGCTGAACCTCTGGAAGCCTGTGGAGAGGTGAGTCAGATGCCCTCCCATTGTTTACATCTGAGGAACTATACTACAACCTTGTCTCCTTGTCTCCTCTCTCCTTGTTTCCTTTCCTTAGGGGAGGGACATGAAGCTGGTTTTGAAGAAGGACTCGCTGATCCTATTGGACCCTTTAGACCACACCCCCCTGCACTGTCAGCCAATCAGCAGCATCCGAGTGTGGGGCGTGGGCTGCAACAACGGCAGGTCGGCCAATCAGAGGGCGGAGAGGTTTAAACCAATCAGAAAAGAGTTACTGATGCCAATAACCAATCAGAACTCAGACATAGAAGGACTTAACCAGAGTCTGACACAATATTTTCATTTAGGGTCACACCAAGTATCACCAGGTCTAAACCAGGTCTAAACCAGGCCTAAATCAGGTCTAAACCAGGTCTGCAACAGTATTATGTTACGCTGTTACAGTTTAAATGCCGTCAAATTGAGCTCCCGAGGCAGAAGTGGAATAACAAGTCACATTTTCAAAGTGTTTTGGTCTGGTTTGACGAGTTAAGCATCGACATGTGCGTGTTAGATTTGCGGCAGAACATCTACGTTAGATGATTGAACAGTTTGGATTTAATATTTGATTTTATCTTTATCATTTTCACTACATCATATTTTATTTTGTTTCCATGTGTAGAAAACGTTGTAACTTTGTTTAGAAAGAAAGCGTATAAATAAAATATCACTATAGTATAATAGGAAATTTACACATTTCAATATTATATTTTTAATGCCATTTACTATAAAGATTTGAGTGTTTCCAGTCATTTCTTTCTCTTCTATAGTGGGAGTCTTATTTGATAGAAGATATCAGCCTGTCGAAATGAGCTACCTCTACACAAATTCTTATAAATGAGTGAATAATGGTGATTCTACAGTGGGAGCTTTATTCGATGGTTAAATTGGCCAAACATCTGTCCAAATGAACTACGTACGCAGATTCATATAAATGAGTTGAAATTTGACATAATTAAGGTATAAAGTTTGATCACCGTGTGCAAACAGCATCAAACCCGCACCTCTAATCCAAAGAAATATGAGGAGGTTCGGCTTTATTGGATCTATACAAATGTAAATGGAAAAACGTAAGGTCACTTATTTCGGTTACATACTGCCATTCCAACTTTGACTAATTGTTGGAGTGGCGGCATTTCCATTTTTTATCAAACTCCGACTTTTTTTTTCCTTGGTCAGAGTGGGGGCACTTTCGCTTTTTTTTTTTTCAACATTCCTCTATTTTGACACACACAGGTAATTATTAAGTTGCGGTAGTGCTCTTTTCAGGACAATATTTTCCCAGACTGGCAGCATGGTTTAATCCTGGTTTAATCCTGGTTTAGATCTGGTTTAATCCTGGTTTTAGTTCTGGTTTAGAGGCACAGTCCATGCGGTGTAGACAAGGCAAAAAAGGTGACACTCCATAAGTAGGTTGTCAGAATGGCGACATAAAAGGTGTCGGAATGGGGGCGTGTCGAAATGGGGGGTTGTTGGAATGACGGAATGTCTGTCAGAGTGGCTGTATGTTGGAATAAGGGTTTTACCTCCTTATTTCGATGGGGTGGAGTGAATCAATAGACCTCACTGTCGATTTAGGCTGCAGTAGCTCATTTCGATAAAGCACTGGGGTTCTTTGGTTGCTCTGATACATGTGTGTTGGTCAGATGTTTGAGTCTCACTGTGTCTCTGTGTCTCTTCTCGCTGCGTCATGGCTCCAGGGACAGGTAACTCCACACACTCACCTGTGGCACACCTGTGTACCTGTAACCATAGTAACACCGCCTCACACACACACACACAGACACAGCCTCAGAGACAGGTAATCCCACACCAACACCTATGATGTACTTGTAACCATAGTAACACCAACCCATCCCCTCCCACAGAACGAGCACACTCACCAGACCCCGGACAAGTAAAAACACTCACCTGCACCACACCTGTGCACGTGACTCCTGCTGCATGACCCTGTGATTAAAGGAAGCACTCAGGCCTCACAGCGAGAGGGTCCTGGGTTCAGCTCTGAGTGTGGAGTTTGCATTTTCTCCCCAGTGTCTGTGTCTCGTCTGATGGGCTCTCGATCTTCACGAATCTCACTGGGACTTTTCCAGTTAAATAAAACATTGATTTTCACGAGTGTATTCTGAGTATTCCCCGATGTGCCCTGAGAAAAATCCACTTTCAGTTAAGTTAATTCACTTTTAATTGAACGCGGAACTATTTTGGAGCAACTGAGCAACTTCTGAACCCGACAGAGAGAAACAAAAGCTATCATGATACATAAAAGAGCCAGACACGGGGACAAGAGCAATATTGGCACTTTTTCTTTCCTCCAAATAGAGTAGATTTGGTAATATATTGATACTTTGCTGTCATATCACACTAGTGGTGTTCTACATGTACAAAGTGACCAGAATTTCAAAATCAGAAACTGGAACACTCTCGGTTTGGGGTGGTTCGTAATAATAAAGTTGTGAAATGAGTAGCGATGGGCATGATTAGTCGATTAATCAGTAATTGATCATTAAGAATTTTGTCAATTACGTTCATTTTTACGTTCAGGGACTGTGTGTGCATGTGTTTATCTGTGATGTGTTCAAGTGCAGTTGTACTTTTGTGTACTTTCAGGGACTGTGTGTGCGCGTGTGTTTATCTGTGATGTGTTCAAGTGCAGTTGTACTTTTGTGTATTTTCAGGGACTCTGTGTGTGTGTGTTTATCTGTGATGTGTTCAAGTGCAGTTGTACTTTTGTGTACTTTCAGGGACTGTGTGTGCGCGTGTGTTTATCTGTGATGTGTTCAAGTGCAGTTGTACTTTTTTGTACTTTCAGGGACTTTGCATTCGTGGCCGGAGACAAAGACTCGTGTGTCCTGAAGTGTCACGTTTTCAGATGTGACGTCCCAGCGAAAAGTATCGCTACTGCATTACACCAACTCTGCTCCAAGGTACTACTACTACTACTACTACTACTACTACTACTACTACTACTACTACTACTACTACTACTACTACTGCATTACACCACCTCTGCTCCAAGGTACTACTACTACTACTACTACTACTACTACTACTACTACTGCTGCTGCTGCATTACACCAACTCTGCTCCAAGGTACTACTACTACTACTACTACTACTGCATTACACCACCTCTGCTCCAAGGTACTACTACTACTACTACTACTACTACTACTGTACTACTACTACTACTACTACTACTGCTACTACTCTGCTCCAAGGTACTACTACTACTACTACTACTACTACTACTACTACTACTACTACTACTACTACTACTACTACTACTACTACTACTACTACTACTACTACTACTACTGCTGCATTACACCAACTCTGCTCCAAGGTACTACTACTACTACTACTACTACTACTACTACTACTACTACTACTACTACTGCTACTGCTACTACCGCTACTACTACTACCGCTACTACTACTTCTACTACTTCTACTACTACTACTACTACTACTACTACTGCATTGCACCAACTCTGCTCCAAGGTACTGCATGTACTACTACTACTACTACCACTACTACTACTGCTAGTACTACTATTACCGCTACTACTACTACTACTACTACTACTGTTACTACTCGTCCTTGTACTCGTTTCAGATGATGTCAGAGGAAAGTTGTCGTCCTTCTCGTTCTCTCACTTTGGAGTCCATCTCTCCACAGGACTTCCCCCGACAAGGTCAGTACTGCAAATACTGCAAAAGTACTGCAAAAATACTGCAAAAGTACTGCAAAAATATGATACAAATAGAAACATATTGATAATCTTATTTTATTCTAAACACTTGTATGTTTCTATGGTGTAGAGCTGCTGCCGTGTTCTCTAGTGTTATAAACTTAGAGTCATTATTGTAAACTTATATTATTCATAATTGTGTTTAATGTTTTATGTTGTTTTTTTTTTGTTTCAGTGGAGTGTGTGTGGAGCTACTGCAGTGTTGTATTTTTGTATAAACTTAGAGTCGTTATTGTAAACTCATATTTGATGTTGTATGTTTTGTGTTTCAAGTGTGTTGCAGTGTTGTATATTAAACATAGAGTGTTGTTCATCATAATTATGTTTTTGTGTTTCAGTGGAGTGTGTGGAGGCCGTGCAGCAGCAGGTGCAGAAGTTTCCGGTCAAATACGTGGGGAACCTCCCAGTGTCCACAGCCATGGGTCAGAGGTTCACATATTTACATACACACAGATGTTTACAACTCTTCACCTTATTAAACTTTATTAAACTGGTGCTTGGGGACTAAACAGACCGTTGTGGAAAACATAACGTCCGGAAGTGCCCTGTTGTAGGTTTGCGGAACTTCTGGTTAATGTTTTTTTATGGCAAAATGTCGGTGGAAATGTCTGGTGTATTCTCCAGCAGCTTCATAAATCTGCCCCATCACCAAATCTTCAACCAACAAGGTCTAAACCAGGACTACATCAGGTCTAAACCAGGACTACCTCAGGTCTAAACCAGGTCTAAACCAGGACTACATCAGGTCTAAACCAGGACTACCTCAGGTCTAAACCAGGACTACCTCAGGTCTAAACCAGGACTACATCAGGTCTAAACCAGGACTACATCAGGTCTAAACCAGGACTACCTCAGGTCTAAACCAGGACTACCTCAGGTCTAAACCAGGACTACCTCAAGGTCTAACCAGGACTACCTCAGGTCTAAACCAGGTCTAAACCAGGACTACATCAGGTCTAAACCAGGACTACCTCAGGTCTAAACCAGGACTACATCAGGTCTAAACAAGGACTACATCAGGTCTCTACTCAGGTCTAACCAGGACTACCTCAGGTCTAAACCAGGACTACCTCAGGTCTAAACCAGGACTACCTCAGGTCTAAACCAGGTCTAAACCAGGACTACATCAGGTCTAAACCAGGTCTAAACCAGGTCTACCTCAGGTCTACCTCAAGTCTAAACCAGGACTACATCAGGTCTAAACCAGGACTACATCAGGTCTAAACCACCTTCTAAACCAGGTCTAAACCAGGAACCTCAGGTCTAACAGGACTACCTCAGGTCTAAACCAGGTCTAAACCAGGACTACATCAGGTCTAAACCAGGTCTAAACCAGGTCTACCTCAAGGTCTAAACCAGGACTACATCAGGTCTAAACCACCTTCTAAACCAGGTCTAAACCAGGACTAAATCAGGTCTAAACCAGGACTACCTCAGGTTTAAACCACATCTAAACCAGGTCTAAACCAGGACTACCTCAGGTCTAAACCAGGTCTAAACCAGGACTACATCAGGTCTAAACCAGGACTAAACCAGGTCTAAACCAGGACTACCTCAGGTCTAAACCACGTCTAAACCAGGTCTAAACCAGGACTACATCAGGTCTAATCCAGGACTAAACTAAGACTAAACCAGGACAACATCAAGTCTACTGGTCTAAACAGGACTAAACCAGGACTACATCAGGCCTAAACCAGGACTACATCAGGTCTAAACCAGGACTACTCAGGTCTAAACAGGACTAAACAGGTCTAAACCAGGACTAAACCAGGTCTAAACCAGGACTAAACCAGGACTACAACAGGTCTAAACCAGGACTACATCAGGTCTAAACCAGGACTAGAACAGGTCTAAACCAGGACTACCTCAGGTCTAAACCAGGACTAAACCAGGTCTAAACCAGGACTACATCAGGTCTAAACCAGGTCTAAACCAGGTCTACCTCAAGTCTAAACCAGGACTACATCAGGTCTAAACCACCTTCTAAACCAGGTCTAAACCAGGACTACCTCAGGTCTAAACCAGGACTACATCAGGTCTAAACAAGGACTACATCAGGTCTAAACCAGGACTACCTCAGGTCTAAACCAGGACTACCTCAGGTCTAAACCAGGACTACTCAGGTCTAAACCAGGACTAACCTCAGTCTAAACCAGGTCTAAACCAGGACTACATCAGGTCTAAACCAGGTCTAAACCAGGTCTACTCAGGTCTACCTCAAGTCTAAACCAGGACTACATCAGGTCTAAACCAGGACTACATCAGGTCTAAACCACCTTCTAAACCAGGTCTAAACCAGGACTACCTCAGGTCTAAACCAGGACTACCTCAGGTCTAAACCAGGTCTAAACCAGGACTACATCAGGTCTAAACCAGGTCTAAACCAGGTCTACCTCAAGTCTAAACCAGGACTACATCAGGTCTAAACCACCTTCTAAACCAGGTCTAAACCAGGACTAAATCAGGTCTAAACCAGGACTACCTCAGGTTTAAACCACATCTAAACCAGGTCTAAACCAGGACTACCTCAGGTCTAAACCAGGTCTAAACCAGGACTACATCAGTCTAAACCAGGACTAAACCAGGTCTAAACCAGGACTACCTCAGGTCTAAACCACGTCTAAACCAGGTCTAAACCAGGACTACATCAGGTCTAATCCAGGACTAAACTAAGACTAAACCAGGACAACATCAAGTCTACTGGTCTAAACCAGGACTACATCAGGCCTAAACCAGGACTACATCAGGTCTAAACCAGGACTACCTCAGGTCTAAACCAGGACTAAACCAGGTCTAAACCAGGACTAAACCAGGTCTAAACCAGGACTAAACCAGGACTACATCAGGTCTAAACCAGGACTACATCAGGTCTAAACCAGGACTAGAACAGGTCTAAACCAGGACTACCTCAGGTCTAAACCAGGACTAAACCAGGTCTAAACCAGGACTACATCAGGTCTAAACCAGGTCTAAACCAGGTCTACCTCAAGTCTAAACCAGGACTACATCAGGTCTAAACCACCTTCTAAACCAGGTCTAAACCAGGACTACCTCAGGTCTAAACCAGGACTACATCAGGTCTAAACCAGGACTACATCAGGTCTAAACCAGGACTAAACCAGGTCTAAACCAGGACTAAATCAGGTCTAAACCAGGACTACCTCAGGTTTAAACCACATCTAAACCAGGTCTAAACCAGGACTACCTCAGGTCTAAACCAGGTCTAAACCAGGACTACATCAGGTCTAAACCAGGACTAAACCAGGTCTAAACCAGGACTACCTCAGGTCTAAACCACGTCTAAACCAGGTCTAAACCAGGACTACATCAGGTCTAAACCAGGACTAAACTAAGACTAAACCAGGACAACATCAAGTCTACTGGTCTAAACCAGGACTAAACCAGGACTACATCAGGCCTAAACCAGGACTACATCAGGTCTAAACCAGGACTACCTCAGGTCTAAACCAGGACTAAACCAGGTCTAAACCAGGACTAAACCAGGACTACATCAGGTCTAAAGCAGGACTAGATCAGATCTAAACCAGGACTAGAACAGGTCTAAACCAGGACTACATCAGGTCTAAACCAGGACTAGAACAGGTCTAAACCAGGACTAAACAGGTCTAAACCAGGACTACCTCAGGTCTAAACCAGGACCACATCAGGTCTAAACCAGGATTAAACTAAGACTAAACCAGGACAACATCAAGTCTACTGGTCTAAACCAGGACTAAACCAGGACTACATCAGGTCTAAACCAGGACTACCTCAGGTCTAAACCAGGTCTAAACCAGGACTAAACCAGGTCTAAACCAGGACTACCTCAGGTCTAAACCATGTCTAAACCAGGTCTAAACCAGGACTACCTCAGGTCTAAACCAGGTCTAAACCAGGACTAGATCAGATCTAAACCAGGACTAGAACAGGTCTAAACCAGGTCTAAACCAGGACTACATCAGGTCTAAAGCAGGACTAGATAAGATCTAAACCAAGACTAGAACAGGTCTAAACCAGGACTAAACCAGGACTACATCAGATCAAAACCAGGACTAGATCAGGTCTAAACCAGGACTAAAACAGGACTATCACAATTTTGGACTAATCTGATCCCTACCAAGAGTAAAGAGGAGCATAAATTGTCATTTATTTGGCCAAAAACAAAATTTACAGACATTTTATTTATACCAGTCGCCCCAAACCCCGGTGTGTCCCAGATTTGAATTTTGATCATCTGATCATTAACAAAACAGTCCATGGAATGTCCTCTGTGTGTGTCAGACATGTATTAAAACGTGTGTGTGTGTTTCAGGGATGGAGGTCGTGAACCGAGCGATCGAGAGCCTCATGACCTCCGACCCCGATGACTGGGACCACGCCCACATCCACGTCTCCCACAGCGCCCTCGCTCTGTGGAGGGGAGAGGTAATGCTCCTGAACGAGGGTGTGAGGGGAGGGCATCTGACACACGAGGAGGGACTCTGACTCTAGTCTCTTCCCAGGACTATGGAGTATGAAAGTTTTCAGAAATATTCGTGTGCGTAGGATAGAAATACATCGTCACTTCACAAGCAGAAGAAACATCGATCAAGATGCTGAACTTTTGCGCTGCATAAAGACTGAACCAGGACTGAACCAGGACTAAACAAGAACTAAACCAGGACTAAACCAGGACTGAGTGTCAGGACGGACCCGGGGGTGCGCCCGCGTAGACCGTCGAGTGACTAATCGCAGCCTTCGCCCAATCGTGCTTTGAAGACACTCTGCTCCACAAGGTTGGGGTTCTCAAGTTATTAGTTGGTTTATCTCTCTCAAGACCTAGATTAGTCCTGGTTCAATTCTGGTTCAGTTCTGGTTTAGTCCTGGTTTAGTCCTAGTTTTTGACTTAGTTTAGACCTAGTTTAGACCTGGTTTAGTCCTGGTTTAGTCCTGGTTTAGTACTAGTTTTTGACTTAGTTTAGACCTAGTTTAGTCCTGGTTTAGTCCTGGTTTAGTCCTGGTTTAGTCCTGGTTTAGTCCTGGTTAGATCTGGTTTAGTCCTGATTTAGACCTGGTTTAGACCTGGTTTTCACCTGATTTAAACCTAGTTTAGTCCTGCTTTAGACCTAGTTTAGACCTGGTTTAGACCTGGTTTAGTACTAGTTTTTGACTTAGTTTAGACCTGGTTTAGTCCTGGTTTAGTCCTGGTTTAGTCCTGGTTTAGTCCTGGTTTAGACCTGGTTTAGACCTGGTTTAGTCCTGGTTTAGACCTGGTTTAGACCAGGTTTAGTCCTAGTTTAGACCTGGTGTTCTATTTTTAACAGCCGTGTTGTGTCTGTGAATTCATATTTGTACTAAAGAAAGTATAATCGTACATTTTCATTTCGTGATTGTAATTCTTGATGTTGTAACTTTTCATTTCGCATTCTGATGGATAAAATTCACACAACACATTTTATGTATGACTGGACTCATCCGAGAGTTTACGAATAATTGTTTTACGCTCAACTACAGACAAATATGCACACGAATATTTCTGAAAACTTTCTTACTCTCTTCAGGTCGCTCTTAGTGTGTTGCCAGACGGTGGGAGGGCATCTGACTCTTTCTGTGTGTGTTGCAGGAGTTGCTGTGGGACTTGCCAGTGCGTTTCCTCACCTTCCTCGGCGTGGGGCAGGACTCTCACACTTTTGCCGTGATCGTGGACAAATTCAGCGGGAGGGCATCTGACTCTTTCATTATGGACAGAGGCACTGGGAGGGCATCCGACTCTTTCTGCAGCTCAGGGAGGTTCCAGTGTCACGTGTTCTACTGTGACCCACACGCAGGAGACGTGTCCGAGGCCGTGCAGGCTGCGTGTATGGTACTACTACTACTACTACTACTTTTTGTGTGTGAGGCAGCCTTATGGTACATAAGGTATACTTATTGTGCTCAGGTGTATTTATACTTATTTTGTTGAAATTGGAAACTGTGTCTCAGATCACATGTCCATGACCTGTGGGGTGCCCCAGGGGTCAATCCTGGGCCCCCTTTTGTTCAATCGCTACATGCTGCCCCCTACAGGCCAGTTAATACGCAGCAATTTCTCCAGTTAAACTCAGAGAAGTCATAGTGTTTGTCCCACAGAAACAAAGAGACAGTGTCAGCGTCACCTCCAGTCTCTCTCTCTGAAACCTTCAAATCAGGCAAGAAATCGAGGGGTAATAATGGACTCAGAATTTAACTTTAACAGCCACATCAAATCAATAACATCTGCAGCCTTTTACCATCTAAAACAGACTTGGAGAGACTTATCCATGCGTTTGTCTCCAGTAGGTTAGACTGCTGTAACGAGCTGTGAAACGCTTGCCTGGAAATCCAGAAGGATATTTCTCTGTATTTGCTATACAGGTCAGCCGCTGGTACAGTGATGAGTCTGGATTCTTCCAGGCTGTAGAACACTGTTATCACTGCTCTGCACTGTTTTTATCTCCATAAACTCACAGAGGAGTGTGTATCATAAAAGGACACACATCAGCCTCACTATTTAACAGATATTTCTGCCTCTAATAAGATATTTTCTCCACTAAAAGTGTTAGCACATGTAAACAAACAGCGCCGTATGATGACGCCATTCGGCCGTGACCCGGTTCGGATTTGCAGGTGTGAGTGCGGCCCTAGAACCCTACGCAATCGTGCTTGAGCACGGCACGATTCTAAAGTCCTAGTGTGAGTCGCCCTAAATCCAGTCTCAAGACAGTTCTGTTTATCTGTGCGTATGACTGAAAGGTTTTCATTCTAGACTCTTCTCTCTCATTTCATGTCTCTCTCTTTTTAATTTTATGATGATTATGTATGTATGTATGTATGTATGTATGTTTGTATGTATGTATGTATGTGATTTTAACGTATTTCTTATTGTGTAAAGCCCTTTGAATAACTCTGTGTACAAACTGTGCTTTAAAAATAAACTTTCCTTTTGTCTGTTATATTTTAATGTTTTTATATGTGCTCTGTTGCACCCTCTTCAGGTGCAGTACCAGCGCTGTCTTGTGGCGCAGACACCGCGCCTCCGGCCCAAAGTCAAACGCGCCGCGTCCGTCGACGCCACGGCCACAACTCTGTATCATCTCCGTGGTAACGGCTCAGGCTCTGCCCTCAGCAGCAGCCTCAGCAACATGAGCGGCGCCGGCGTCAGCGTCAGCGGCGTCCGGAGGGTCATGGCCTTTTTCGACACGCTCCGAAACAAACCCACCGCCACCTCCTCCTGAGGACTACAGGAAGTCACCTGTAAAAACTACAAAGAACTACAGGAAGTACAAGAGTTAAATAGGAAACAAACCCTCTGGCTCCTCCTCCTGGGGGTTACAGGAACTTAAAGAACTACAAAAAAAACAAAAAAAAAAAAAAAAAAAACTACAGGAAGTATGAGAAGGAAACAGGAGGTTCACACAGAATTACAACAGGAAGTGCTCCATTCACTTGGTCCTTGGGAACTCGGAGATTTTGAGTAAAAAATTCATAGAGTTTGCTCGTTCATTTGACCTTAACGAACACTAGTTAAAATTACATCTGCAGTTAACTGAGCAACACTTTATTATGTTCTTTTTCAGACCAAGAGTTTCTTTCATACCTGACAGTTTCAACTGATCACTCGAGTCTTCCTCACAGCGTCAGGTGAGGAAACTGTCAGGCATGAAAACAAACTCATGGTCTGAAAACATAAATGATCAGAAGACCAAATGAACCTCAGTGGACTAATTGAGCATCACGTTGACGAAGCTGTGATCGCTCTCGCCTCATAGCAAGATGGTCGTTCGTGGGTTTGATTCTGGGGCAGTTCGGAGTCTTTCTAGTGGAATTTGCATGTTCTGCCTGTGCCTGAGAGCTCCGGTGTCCCCTATCCTGGTTAAATCAAAATAAAATTAAACAGTGTCGAGATCAAATGTTTAAGATAAATGGACAAATCAGCTGAATTTTGTGTGTCTCCAGAAAAGCAGGAGTTGTTTGTTCGTTCGACTTGTGCTGCGTTCATGGGCATTTTTCAACTCGTAAAAAAAAATAAAAACATTTTCCGGAGTTCCCAAGGACCACATGAACGCAACATAATCAAACTCCAGGAAGTCCATGAGAAAAGTAGTCTTATGTACTTTGTAGTCTGCTGGGACTACAAATGTAGAAGAAGAATCTCCTCCTAAAGAATGTCTCTGGCCCTTTGCTCCTGACCTCTGACCTCTGACCTCCCCCAAATGCTGCGTTGGTAAATAAGACGTGATGTAAATATGAAACTTTTATTCTTTATCTGTCGGTTTGAGGTTTGTTTTTGGAGCTGTTCAGGCGACGTCGTTTCCCAGGAACTTTTACAAACACGACACTTACACATGATCAGAAAGGGGCCATTCTGTTTCATCTGGTGACATCATCAGGTGGTACTACTCCTCTGGGTTTTTAAAGTTTTTAAAGTCCACTCACCTTTAGCAGACTCGGCCCAGACTCAGACTCGGCCCAGACTCGGCTCAGACTTAGACTCGGCTCAGACTTAGACTCGGCTCAGACTTAGACTCGGCTCAGACTTAGACTCGGCTCAGACTCAGACTCGGCTCAGACTCAGACTCAGACTCAGACTCAGACTCAGACTTAGACTCAGCTCAGACTTAGACTCAGCTCAGACTCAGACTCAGACTCAGCTCAGACTTAGCTCAGACTCAGCGCAGACGCAGACTCAGCGCAGACTCAGCGCAGACTCAGCGCAGACTCAGCGCAGACTCAGCGCAGACTCAGCGCAGACTCAGCTCATACTTGTCTCAAACTCAGCTCAGACTCGACTCAGACTCGGACGCAGACTCGGCTCAGACTCAGACTCGTCTCAAACTCAGCTCAGATTCAGCTCAGATTCTGATGAACCAAACTAAACCAAACGGCCTCCTCTGAACAGCTCTAGAGACCGGAGAATAATTTTAGAATTTATCCTGAATTATGATTTTGATTTTGTTATGATTAAAATTATAATATTATTGTTATTATTATGAACAAACAGATTGTGGAGTTAAACAGAAGAAAAATATTTCTGTTTTATTCTGGGTTTTTTATTGTAAAGACTTTTTAAAACATATGTCCAGAAATCAGCTTGAAACCAGGACTAAACCAGGTCTAAACCAGGACTAAACCAGGTCTAAATGAGAACTAAACCAGGACAAGCTAAGACTAAACCAGGTCTAAACCAGATCTAAAACTGGACTAAATCAGGGCTAAAGCAGAACGAAAACAGGGCTAAACCAGGTCTAAAACAGGACTAAATCAGGACCAGGACTAAACCAGAACTAAACTAGGAACACTAGGAAGACTATTCCAGGTTAAAAAAAAAAAGAAAAAAAAAAGGACTAAACCAGGTCTAAAACAGGACTGAATCAGATCTAAACCAGGTCTAGACCAGTCCAGGGATTACTTTGTTGAATGTATAAACGTGATCATTTTACCGCTGCTGAAATTCGACACAGAATTTTCCGAATGTCTGAAATAATTTAATTGAATGTAAAAACGCACAAACCTGAAGTACAAAAAGTATTTAAAAGTATCGTGTATAACAGTGCTGCAGTAAAAGTACACAGGTAAAAGTACTGCTGTAGAAGTGCACAGGCTTTGTGAATGTATCTGACGAGTGCTCAGAGAAAACTGCATCTCCCAGAATGCTTTGGGGCCGGCTGTGTTTATGATGTCATGATCTGAAATAACCAAAATTAAAAAATGATATATGAGAAAAACAAAACGATGTCTGATGATTATTTACGTGTGGGGAAAGGGGAGGGGCTACTGAGGAAAGGGGAGGGGCTCCGGGGAAAGGGGAGGGGCTACTGAGCAAAGGGGAAGGGCTATGGGGAAAGGGGAGGAGCTACGGGGAAAGGGGGAGGGGCTATGGGGAGAGGGGAGGGGCTACGGGGAAAACATTTGAGAAAAAATTGAAATATGTTTACGTTTTTATTTGTCATTTCACCTGCAACAGCAAAATGGAAGCTGCACCTGCTGTGTCTCTGCACCTGTCACGTCTCTGCACCTGTCACGTCTCTGCACCTGTCAGAGTGTCAGAATATAATGCTACAAACTACAAATTATTGTTAAAAAGCACAAAAAATGAAGAGAGAAAGAGAAAGAAGAGAGCCAAAAAAGATAGATAAGAAAAGAGATAAATAAGGCAAGTGAGAGGGAGAGAGGAAGGATAGAGAGATGGAGAGAGAGGGAAGAGAGAGAGGGGAAAGAGAGCCAAACAGAGTGAGGGAGAGAGAGGAAGAGAGAGAGAAAGAGAGAGTACGAGAGAGAGAGAGAGTGCAAAAAGAGAGCCAGAGAACAAGGGAGGGAGAGAGGAAGGAGAGAGGGATGGCGAGAGGAAAGAGAAAATGAGAGAAAGATGGAGAGAATAAGAGAGAGAGAGAGAGAGAGAGAGAGAGAGAGAGAGAGAAGAGCCAACTAGAGCCAGAGAGCGAGTGAGGGAGAGAGGAAAGAGAGAGGGAGGAGACAGAGACAGCCAAATTGAGCCAGAGAGTGAGAGAGAGAGAGAGAGAGAGAGAGAGAGAGATGAAGAGAGCCAAAAAGAGCCAGAGAGAGAGAGAGAGTAAGGGAGAGAGGAAGGAGAGAGAGAAGAGAGAGAAGAGAGAGAGAAAGATAGCCAAATAAAGCCAGAGAACGAGTGAGGGAAGGAGGAAGAAGAGAGAGAAGAGAAAGAGAGAGAGAGAGAGAGAGAGAGAAGAGCCAAATAGAGCAAGGAAGAGAAGAAGGAGAGTGAGAGAGAGAGAGAGAGAGAAGGAGGGAAGGAAGGAGAGAGAAAGAGGAGGCCAAATAGAGCCAGAAAGCGAGTGAGAGAGAGAGAGAGCGAGAGTGAGAGGGAGAGAGGAAGGAGCGAGAGAGAGAGAAGGAGGGAAGGAAGGAGAGATAGAAAGAGAGAGCCAAATAAAGCCAGAGAACGAGTGAGGGAGAGAGGAAGGAGCAGAGTCGGCGTCAGAGCACATCTACTGGAGGGGCGTGGGTCACCAGCAGGGGGGGCACTGCCATTTCAGAAATATTTTAACGCGGTGGAGTCATACAAAGCAGAAATGCTATCAAACACGTTTTTCTTTAACGGTATTAGGTTAATTATGTGTTGTTGTTATTTTTATCATTATTTTATTAAAATTATTATTATTAGCTGCAATAGTTGTTGAGGCTGTATGGTAGACGATACGCACACAAGACAATAATAAAAGGTTGAGGTTTATTAAAAAACAATAAGGCCTGCCACTGGTTGTAAACATTAAACAACAGCCTCTCGTCAAAAACACCCCTGAACAACATCACTGAAAGAAGCAATCGGGCAAGAAATAGCCACGCATCGGACAGCACCAGGGCTGTAGTGTGCGTGGTACGCGAGGGTGCGCCGTCCAGTACTGTCCTATAGAGACCTGAGACTTGAGGGACCGGGACTAAACCAGGACTAAAACAGGACCAGTGGCAGCTGGTGGTATAATTTTTGGGAGGGGCACCAAGGCCAAAATTATAAATATATATTACTAACAATATATGTATTATATATCTAGTCTATAGTATTATAACAAATACCAGAAACAGATATTTTGGTTACTATTGGCTGAACAATATCGATCAGAGCACAATGACCAGCCAAGCGCAAACTTTACGCAACAACACAACGTAACACGCCGCTCACACCCAGACCCAACAACGTCAGCAAAACTACAATAAGAGGCTACGATCACAACATGAACACAGATGCCGCTCCTACAGCACACGGCAGAACAACCAGAGCAGCTCCATCGCACCCGCGAGCTCATTTACGCACTTTTAACTATTAACACTATAACACTATTTAACTATTAACACTATAACACTATTTAACTATTAACTATTTAACTATAACTATAACACTATTTAACTATTAACACTATAACACTCTTTACCTGTGAGGCTCCAAGTTCAGATTTGCCGCAAACTAATGAAAACCAGCCTCTTACCTTCTCCAGAGACTGAAGCAGAGTGTTTCCTCTGTCCACTGTCCCATTGGTTCTGTCTCCAAAAGTCTATTGTCCAATATGAAGAGATGAAACTGGTCCGTGACGCGAGGTCCAGGAGCCGAGTGCACAAGATGGTTGTAAAATTTGTCTTAATCCCACTTCCCACTTAAATGTGAAAGTTACGGTCAGTCCATATCAGCACCAGGACACCAGGTAGAATTATGCCTCTGCGTGATATGCTCAGGTCAAACTTTTACACCCAGAAACGAGCGGGCAAAGGCG